GAACCATTTTCATAGTCATATAGTTCGACAGGTCATCGGCTCAAGCTGAATATGTCTGTGTCCATATCTAGACATCCACGCGATCAGAGAGACTTAAAATACTGAATCCAACATTACTCTGAAAAAAGTATGGCTTCTATCACGATTATTTGTTATTCTTAACATAATTCTGTTCGAAGCTTTGCAACACTTTTATTAAATTAATACAATTTTTTTTTTTACGATTTCTATTCAAACATTGTTTTTGCACATTTTTTAGTATCGGAACTTATTGCTTTCTACCTAATAATCTAATCAGAATTTCAAGAACAATATTCGTTAAATATTGCAATAGGAAGAAATTTGTTCAATGTCATAGACTTTTAATATTACAAGCTACGACAAAATTTTATGTTTCGAAGGACGTTGCAAATAATAGAAAGCTTTGTTGTTTAAATTTGTTACGCCCGTCATTTCGGTATCGCGTACGAAAATATGCGTGTGGGGCAATGGCGCGTTATTACGTAAGATGGCCGTTTTCCGAAGGGGCTGACTTTCTCTTGACTTTGAAAAATTCATCGAAATAATCTCGATAACTTCCTTAAAAGAAGTTGGAAGTTAACAGTTTGTTGCTTTAATGTCCCTATTTAGCTATGAGAATTTCTAAACTTTCGAGCGTTTGTAGTTATTTTGAACGTATAATATTTGGTAAAGTCGAAACAAAGTTTAGGGATGAAATGTATTTTATCGCATTTCGAATTTTAATAATTTCCATGATTGTCTTTAAAATTATTTTTTTATAGAATTCCTATATTGGGTTTGTCGTGATATTTAAAAAAATGAAGGTACATTTTAATGTATAAACATATTTATAATTGACAGTTGTTGTTTGTAAACTGTCTGAAATTATTTATCATGCTATGTTCCAAATGCAAAACTTTATTTTACAATGAATTTCTCTAACCATTTTGTTATGTCTGACACATGGTGGGCATATTTCACTTAAAATGTCTGCACTCATTGCACGTAGAGTAAGAGTGATTGACAAAATTAAAATTATTAAATTCGATTCCAGTGATATTCATGTTCGTGTTAGTCAGCAATCTAAATATTAATTTCTTTTAGTTTCCCTCTATTTATTTTGTTGTAAATATTAAACGTATTCTCTTTGCGTGATGCAATTTCAGCTGATTTTTATTTTAGATTCTATCAGCAAGATGTATTTATTCAGTAATAAAAAATAGTAAAATGTGTTTTTAATGAATTTATATAATAGATTTTTAGAATTACACTTCTATTAGATATAATACGTTTAAAATTGTATTTAATAAACACGATATACCAGAAAATATTTGCGCTGATTTTCGGACAAAATTGTATGCTTATTGGTGAGTAAAATATTCAATTGCGCATATAGATATGTAGATGAATAATCCTTTAACTATTTTGAGTGTGCTATTTCGAACGTTATGTTGATTTTCTATATTTGTACCTGTACTGTTTCATTGAATGATTAGCTCTCAACATGCGTACATTGTACTCAATATTTTTACTACTAGTAGTAGTATGCTTTATTGATTTCCATATTGTTCCATTTCCCATACTCTACCGTTACATTTTCCATCTATATGTATATGTATATGTATTAATATATATTACTTATAAATATATACCAACATAAAATGTAAAAATTCTATTATCATTAAAGTTCAAATTAAAATTAACATTACTTTGCATAACACAAACTAAACTTTAAGATAGAAATAACAAAGAAATAACTTTTCATTACTGTGTGCAGTAATATATTTTATTGTACACAATACATCATGAATTTCTTATTGAAACAATTTAATAACGGTGATATCATATATTATCAAATATTCGATAACATATGATACCGCTATCGAAATTTTGTACAGATTAAACAAATGCTGAATTCGAAGGCTATCAAGAGTCTCGTGAATTTTTCGTATAAATGTAGTCAAAGTTATGAGTAGGATTAAAGACAACCGGCGAAACAAGTTTTTTACATAGTTTTCAAAAACTTGCACGCTTGCAAGGAATATAAAGGTTCTCCGAATTTATTAATATGTAAAATACAATATAAATATTTTTGCATGAAATTTATTAATTTTATTATTTATTACAGTTCAATGTTTTTGAGTTTGCTTCTCTTATTCGATTGATTTATACAGGGTGATCCTCCTAAATAAGGCCACCTAAATATCTCCTCTAATTGCGAGGGTACAAAAAATATTTTGTATGCTATTTGAATGGTTTGAAAACCCTTCAATAGAAAACCCTTCTTTTGCAACAAAATTTTTTTTCTAGGATAATTTTTTTCGGAATTTACAAGGTTATCGTTATCAAGGGTATCAATATTGTTTATTGCATCGTGTAGCTGATGTAAAAATACGTTCAGATATGTACATTACATGACCTTGAAATGACCTTTGAGATCGAAAACTAAATGGAAACGAAAAACTTTTGTCTATCGAGACTTTAGAAACCAAGACGTCATTTGGGAATCTGTAAGAGTAAATAAACATGTTTACTATCACGAAACTCCATTGTGAAATTTGTAATACTTTTTCACGAACCTATTTTTCAAACTGTCATTATAATATATGTTCGAAATGGTGCCTCTCCTCATCGATACATTTTTTGAAACGTAGAATGAGAGACTCTCTGGCCTTTTCAAATGTTGTGGGATTAATTGCAGTAAAAGCAGTTATTATTCTGTCTTTCATGTTCTCTGGCGTTGTTGGTTGTACACAATAAACAACTTCTTTTACATGTCCCCATAAGAAATAATCCATAGGCGTGAGATCTGATGAGCGCGGTGGCCACGCTACACGTCCAGTACGTCCAATCCAAGAATTTGGAAATTTTCTATCTAAAATTTGTCTTGCAAGAATGGGTAGAATGAAGAATGTGTAGAATGGGCCGGACAACCATCGTGCTGATACCACATCCTTCTACGAATGTCTAATAATCCATCATCTAAAAGCATCTGTAGCTCATCTTGCAAGAATGTTACATACTTTTGTCCATTTAATGTACCATTTATAAAATAAGGACCAATTATTTGGTTATTCAAGAGACCGCACCAGACATTTATGGTCCAAGGTCTCTGCCTATCTACTTGTCTTAAACATCGTGGATTTTCCAATGATCAATAATGCATGTTTCTCAAATTTAATTGACCATGATTGGTGAAAGATGTCTCGTCGTTATTGTAAATCCCACTGAGAAAAATTCAGGCGATTTTCAAAATCACGCCCATGAAGATCCTGATGGCGAGACACATGATACGGATGAAATTTTTGTTCATGAAGTATTCGTATTATGCTTGTTTTGGAAATACTAGTTATCCGTTCCAAATGTCGTGTACTAACATGCGGATTTTCGGCAACTTTTTCCATAATAAATCTCGTATTTAATTAGTTTGTAACATTATGGGTTCGCGTACGCTTCTTTGTATTGACACTACCACTTTCGAAAAATTGTTTGACCACCTTTCCATATGTACTACGCGATGGACAGTTGCGTTCAGGAAATTTCGCTTGGTACAATCGAACAGCTTGCCTTAGACACTGATCACTTTTGCCATAAATAAGAATTATATTAATTTACTCTTGCTTTGAGTAACTCATCGCGAAGGATAATATCGATAAGCTGACGAACTGTTTGAAAAGGATCAGATTCTGCGGTGTCAGAAGTAATTCGTAGTGTGATATTAAACATGTTTATTTACTCTTACAGATTCCCGAATGACGTTTTGGTTTCTAAAGTCTCAATAGACAAAAGTTTTTCGTTTCCATTTAATTTTCGATCTCAAAGGTAATTTCAAGATCATGTAAAGTACATGTCTGGACGTATTTTTACATCAGCTACACGATGCAATAAAAAAAATTATATAATTATATGCAAAAAAACATCGATAACCTTGTAAACTCTGAAAAAAATTACCCTAGAAAAATTATTTTTGCAAAAGAAAGGTTTTTTCAAACCATTCAAATAGCATACAAAATATTTTTGTACCCCCACAATTAGAGGAGATATTTAGGTGGCCTTATTTAGGTGGACCACACTGTATAGTAATCAATCAATTGATAATCATATCAATTTGTTAAATATACTTTAAAGGAAGGTTTTATAAACTTGTGTATATACTAATGTTTAAATTTAAAAATAGAATAAACAATGTCACTTAATATATTAATAATCATATTCTCTACGAAATTTAAAAAACATACTTTGAAAAAAGCATTAATACAGTATTAATATAAATACTCGTTTCTGTATTTTTCTTAACGACTTGTCCGATTTAGAAAAAAAGTTTTCGAGAAATATGTCTAGATACGTCTAGACTTTGTAGGCACACGTCGATATTATAATTCATAAATATTCCGTTACAAAAAGTTCTCGTTGGCCACGGTTGTGAATTTACAAGCCAGATTTAGGCAACGATAAAACTCAGGACAGGTTCTGCATCTGTTTATGGCATTGTTATTGCAATGGGCGCCAACAATAAAAAGAATTCAAAATACCTGCGTCTTTTACCATGAGAAATCAGATGAGTTTCTTTGCTTTTCTAAATTTAATTCTTCTGGTAAGATATCTCTCATTAAATACCAAACTTACTATTATATGTATACGGTGTCGCATTTAACTGTATTACTTGGAATAACTCGTTTGTTTTCAATAATATCAAAAATTTTTTCAGATATAAACTGAATGATTTCGAGAGGAAAATAAGATAATCTAAATAAGTTTTTTATAAATGGACGCGTCATGGATATTAAAATATTGATATTGTAATATATTACTTAAAACAATTTAATATTATTAACATTTTTTAATTATAAGTAGACTGCTACTTTTATTTATTCTACTTTTTATCTATTCGTGGTATTCGCAGCTTTCTTTTTCAAAAATAGCTTTCTTCGCAGCGTAAGTCATAAACCGCGCAGACTGTACGTAAAATATTTCCTCGTTTGTACGGCCAGCCGTTACAGGAAAATTAAAAGAAGGATGAAATTCAATTAGAAAAGCATGAAAAAGAAGAGTGAAATTAATTACTAAAATTAAAATTGTAACTTTGTTATTTCTTATAAGTAACTAATATAAAATTAAAAAATAAGACATAAATGTATGATTCTAATCGTTATATGTCTTCTTCCGGCTTTTATACGCCGTATATCACCAATCCCTGCGATGAATCACTTAAAATAAAACACTTAGCTATTACTGTTTTATAATAGCCTGACAAGTGATAAAAAAATGATAAATTTCATTTGCAAAACTTTTCTATTCTAGTTGACCTCTGCGTATTCAGTCTTCCTGAAACGCTTCCTGCTAAAACTAGGAATAATCTGAATAACACTTTTAATTCAATTCTCGTAATGCGAGCCCTTGAGACTGAGACAGCTACGAACATCGAGGATGGCACGTTCTCGATAACCTTCCACTGGGATCGTACGCGTAAATCTTACGACGAAATCAATTATTTATTATAGGATTTTTCAATAAGAACGTTTCAAAACTTTCAACTGTCATAATCACCATATTTATTAAAATGTATTGACTTGAAGTTTCATTATTTTGTACAATATTGTATGTTTCTCATTTATTTGTTAAAGAATCATAAGTATCCGTTTTTGAAAAAAGCTTTTTTATAAAAAAATACCATCAAAGCAACTTTGATTGCTATAAGGCGTAAATTCGGCCGCTGACAATCGTTTTTGCACAATATATATTCATGTAAACGATTTAATAACGCATAGCAAGTTTAAAATGTCGATCACCGGTGAACGTGTCAACGTGTTAACGTTGAAACGCCTGACTTGCTTTAAACAGCATGAAAACTTGCACAGGTCGCTCTACAAAACAAGGACAAACTTATCAAAATTCTCTGAGACTCTTTTAATTTTAATTCTAACAATTTTTTTATACTTAATTTTTATTACTTTCTAAGATCAACTAGCCTATCTTTGGATAGGCCTGCCTCTTCGTTGGAATTTATATTGCAAGTTGTAACACAGGGTTCACTTGTAGTCAAGAAAACATTGCTGAACAGAGTGGGGGCTGTGTATAAAAGATCACCGTGACTCGCTGTCCGAGATCATTTTACGTGTGTGTGCATAGCGAGAGGCGACGATTCTCCCGGTCATTCTACGGTGAAACCGGTAAACAGTTTGACCTCGTGAAAATTGCTCCCAAGTCGACCATAACTGTCGACCGTCGGCTGTTCGAATTCCCGTCGATTCGTCAAACTTCAACGAATTCACGAGGAGATGCTGCGCCTGTGAGTATTATTAAAACAATAACTGTTATAGTTTCAACAGACTCTTTGAGACCATCATTATGATAGTGATTAACGAGCGATCAATAAATACTGAAATGTTTTTCGACAACATAATAGGTTCTTGCTCGGTGACGTTTCTATCAAATCCGCTTATGTATATTAAATTTGCTTTCATCCGCGAAAAACATACATATTTTTCCAAAAGGGGAAATCCACGCACGTACATTTTCGTGTAAATTTTAGTCTTTTAACTTTGTTTCTTGCACTAATGTAGGGCTTTAAATGCACTATGTTTGATTGAATAATAAAATTCCGGACGGAACAAAGCACTTATCTTGTAATTTAACTCTTCCGTTGAAGCGAGTGTATTGCAGACGATAAACGGTGCTCATCGATCAGATATAGTCCCCGACGCTTGATTACTCTCGGCCTACAAATATACGATGTTATTTAAAATAATATGCAATATGGCGTCGTTCGTCTTGTCCTAAGTTTGTAATATTTCTCTGTACGGTAATGAAGTACCGTAGTCGGTAAACCTGCGCTTTTGTATTGGGTTGAACGTTTCTCCATTTTATTCCAAATAAATTCATTAGCCTGTGTATTAGTTTCTCCCAAAATTTTTGTAGTTTTTACGAGAAATATTCTTAAAGAACGGGTTTAACTAATAAGTTTCGAAGATAATTTTGTAACAACCTAACGAAGTAATAATCCGACGAGTAATTGTAAAAATTTATCTACGCAAGTACTAGATCTATTAATTTTGTTTATTATTTCTGCATCGATTCCTGCATCGTGATAGACGTGTATTTTTATTTTCTCTTCAAAGCTCGAGACTTTTCCTTGCAGCATCCTAATAAAAGAGGAATTAATTATTACTATGTGAATATCATAAAATTTTGTATTTCAATTGCAATAATTACTCTCTTTTGTACTCGTGATGAAGCAAAACCGTGGAAAATACGAGGTGTGGCTATTAAATAACGGGACTGACGCTGTAAATCATTTTATTTTGATTTCATACATATTTACTTATTATCACCTTCAATATACACCCCTCCTTTATCCCTACAACGCTCCATGCGAATCTTCCATTGTTCGAAACAGTGCTGGAAGTCTTTTTCCGTCAGCTCCTTCAGGACGTGTGCCGCTTTTTCTTTCACAGCTTCAACGGACTCAGATCTTGTTCCTTTTAATGCAGATTTTACCTTAGGAAACAGATACTCGTATGATCCTGAAACGAAACGCCAATCTATGCACCTGAAAGAGCCCAAATTCACCGAGAGAGCCAAAAGAGCTCGAATGAGCAAATCAAAATTCAAAGCAATAATGATTGTTTTTTCTATATTCATGGGATTGTGTACCTTCACTGGGTTCCTGAAGGTCAAACTATTAATCAACATTACTACCTTCACGTTCTTGCTGAACTCCGTGAAAGAATAAGGAAAGAACAATCCGAATTGTGGAAGGACAAGTCATGGGTTTTCCACCAAAACAACGCGCCGGCTCATTCCGCATTATCTGTTAAGAAGTTTCCAGCCAAGTACAGCATCCCAGTGTTAGACCATCCTCCTTATTCGCCGGATCTTGCACCGTGCGACTTCTATCTGTTTCCTAAAGTAAAATCTGTATTAAAAGGACCAAGATTTGAGTCCGTTGAAGCTGTGAAAGAAAAAGCGGCACACGTTCTGAAGGATCTAACGGAAGAAGACTTCCAGCACTGTTTCGAACAATGGAAGATTCGCATGGAGCGTTGTAGGGATAAAGGAGGGGTGTATATTGAAGGTGATAATAAGTAAATATGTATGAAATCAAAATAAAATGTTTTACAGCGTCAGTCCCGTTATTTAATAGCCACACCTCGTACACTGTTCTTCTGATTTTCAAACTACTAACAGTACATCTCCCGAACCATTCTGTATTTGTTACCAGGAATATTCAGCGTTAAAAAATTACAGATTGCTGGTGGCAGCTCTCGTGACTCTGTCATGGGGGTCACCGATGCCCCAGGGCGCCAGTGAGTCCACGGCTGCCAAAGGGGCCGAAGTCTTGTTGACGATTATCAAAGGGTTCTTGAGCCGAGTTGACAAGCAGTACGCGGAATGGAACAACAAACAATCACTAGCTGAATGGGATTACGCGTCGAACTTGACTCAGGAGAACTTGGCGAAAAAGTTGAACGTGTCCGCGGAAGCAGCTCGCGTATACAAGACGATCTGGCAAAAAGTGAATCAGTACCCATGGAAGAACATCAAAGACGAGACCATCAAGAGACAATTTTCGAAACTCAGCGTCCTGGGCGCTGCAGCTCTCCCCGAAGATGTAATAAATTAATCTATACATTAACCCTTTGAGACAAACTAACCGTCGATGAGAGTATAAATAAAATTTAATTCGTTACAGCTGTTCCAAGAATACAAGAAAAGTATAAGCGACATGGAGAACATCTATAGCACTGCGAGAATATGCGATTTCAAAAATCGTAGCAAATGCGATTTAGCCCTCGAACCCGAACTGACGGATCGTTTGATGAAAAGTCGCGACCCTGAAGAACTGAAGTACATTTGGACTGAATGGAGGAAAGCAACGGGTGAAAAAATGAAGTCGTTGTACATAAGATACGTCGAGTTGAGCAATATGGTTGCTGTATTGAACAACTACACCGACAACGCAGCTTATTGGATGAAAGACTACGAAGCTGATGACTTCCCTGAACAAATTGGTAAACTAGGCGTTCAAATTTACAATATCAGTAATGTAATTTCAACGAGAGAAACTACCTACTTTGTTATCACCGATTTCAATGAAACTTACCGGAAACGTAGAGGGGGGCAGTGCCAAAGCGCTACCAAAAACGCAAACTAAACGCGTTTATGAAAATGACACGGTTTTCGGATTTTTTTTTTGGCGTAGAATCTGAGTTTGATATATTTTTTTTCTTTTTTACTGAAAAAAAAAATGAGAAATGAGAAACTAATAAGTAATGAAGCATGGATTAAATTTTTATTAATGAATTTTTTTTTAGAAACACTTTGGCAACAATTGAAACCACTTTACTTACAACTGCACGCTTACGTCCGACGAGAACTTAGGAAGAAATATGGTGAAGATATTGTCTCGAAAGACGGTCCTATCCCCGCTCACTTATTAGGCAATTTATGGGCACAAAGTTGGGCTGGCATAGCAGACTTCACAATTCCATATCCAGGAAAGCAATTACCAGACGCGACGAATGCTATGATCGAACAAGGTTTGTTTAATAGTCTGTTATTTATTAGGCGGTGTCTATTTTTTCACCAAACTTTAGTAGTATATTGGGCTGGGTCATAAGTAATTGCCGAAGTAGGCCTATATCATGTATCTTCTTACCTGTTCAAAACTATTAATATTGCTACAAAAGATTGCTGTAACATTTCAGAAATATTTTAAGTATATTTCAGCAATACTGTTTGTCGTATAAAGTGTAAGCTTCAAGACTTTCAAAAACATTATTTGTTGATTGATTCTTTTAACTTGTGGTTTCTTAGGATACAATGCAACGACCATCTTCCGCGTAGCCGAAGATTTCTTCGTATCTATAAACCTTACCGCAATGCCGGATCTGTTCTGGGAACGATCGATTTTGGAAAAGCAGAAGGATCGAGAGATGATTTGCCACGCCAGTGCATGGGACTTCTACGATGGCAAGGATTTCAGAATCAAGCAATGCACAACAATTAATATGCAAGATTTGTTAACTGCACATCACGAAATGGGTCACATTGAATATTATTTGCAATATAAAGATCAACCCACTGTCTTCAAAGAGAGTGCGAATCCCGGATTCACTGAAGCTATCGGTGATGTTATAGCACTCAGCGCATCGACTCCTAGTCACCTGAAAAGCATCAAGTAAATGAAAAATATTATATGTTTAGAATGAAATATTTGCTATGAGTCAAAATAGCCCTGCATTAAACTAAACACTAAACTTTCTGATTAGATGACATCAATCCTTAGGGTCCAACAGTATCAAATTTGAAAAATGGTACTTTACAATTCATTCAATATAAAAAAATATATCTATACTTTTCTAATGGATTTTATTGAAACGTTTTTAACGAATACAAATCGTCTAAATGAAAAGCGAAAAAAAATTAGTTTGGCGTTTAACGTGTTAAACATTGACTCAAACATTTAACCATTTTGGTTACTACAATGTGCATTCAACGTTAAGTTTTTATATGATATCTGTTATGTTTATATATTATAGATTGTTGAACGATGATGCAACTGATCAAGAGGCCATTATCAATAATCTTTACCTAAAAGGAATTGACAAAATTGCGTTTCTGCCGTTCGCATATATGATGGATAAATGGCGCTGGAACGTATTTCAAGGAGCAGTTACAGCAGATAATTATAATTGTAACTGGTCAGTATAACTACTTGCACATGAGCAATCAACAAGCTCTGTAGCTATGCAAGTTCAAGCGTATGGACGCGTATAGAAGCTTCACATTACCTCAAATAATCGAGACTCTACTATGATGAAATTTATCTTGTCAAGCATATTCTTTTAAAATTTCAATTTTCAGGTGGGATCTCATCGAGAGTTTTCAAGGTATCGAGTCACCGGTAGATAGATCAGAAGATGATTTTGATCCTGGTGCGAAGTACCATATAATAGCAGATGTAGAGTACATCAGGTATTATGTGAGTTTCATCGTACAATTCCAATTCCACAAAGCTCTGTGCACAGCCGCGAATCAGTACGATCCACAGAATCCAAACTCAAAGCCGTTGCATCAATGTAATATTTATAACAACAAAGCAGCAGGAAATTTGCTGAAGTAAGTGTTTAATCTTCAAATTGTGTATAAAAATGTTATATCTTGACTATTAAGGAAGTATTCTATTCATCTGAATTGGCGAAAATGCATCAAAACATATTAAAATTGATGTTAAAATTCACGGTACAATTTATTATTACAACACAGATCCATATTAGAACTGGGCTCTTCTAAACCTTGGCAAGATGTGATGGAAAAGCTAACAGGTCAAAGAAACATGGATACCGCGGGACTCTTGGAATATTTCAAACCACTAACAGATTGGCTGACAGAGGAGAATAAGAAAACAAACGAGTACATTGGATGGAAACCTAGAGCAAAACGTATGTACTCATATAATAAAATACATAAATAATAAATAAAAATAAATAAAATATACATATGTAACAATTTCAATTCAATATTCATGGTATATTACATGCTGATTTATTAATACTTACTTATTTCAGAATGTGTACAAACTAGATCAGAATTAGTAGCGGTTGATGAAACAATCAAAATCACAGAAACGACTGAAGCGATGGAGTAGAAGTATTTACGTTTTAATGCTGTGACTTCGAGAAAGGCGTGTTTACACTTTCGTACAAAAGGTGCGAGGAGAATCGAGTTACACTCTCTTATTTTGGATACGATAAATAACAAGAATATATAAACGGTTCAAATTCGACAATAAATACATTCATTTTAAGATATTAAATTCATTTCGTTTTGCTAAACAATAAAACGCAAATTCTAGTTTTACAATATCTGTGTTATTTTGTCTTTCCACGTCCTCTTCCGCGTTTACTGGGCTTATCGCTTTTTTTACCTTTCATTTCTGTTTTATCGTTATTATTACGTTTTGATTCAGTTTTTTTACTTGCTGTAGGCTTCTTCACCTGAAAGTGGACAATTGATGAATAACGTTGCAATTGTAAATTCTACGTAATAACAAATTCCACAGACTGATACAAAATATTCACTTCAAGTATTCTTAAATATACATATCCTTCGAAATGTAGGCAACATACAGTTTGAATTGTATAAAAACAATTTTATATACATTTTTTTTGTATAATTAACAATTTACACATTGAATTAACACTAGATTTACGGAAGCCGTCAATTTGTCGGATGTCTGGTTCCATATTTAAAATTGCAGAACGCGTAAGTATTATTTTTTAACAATTTGTGTTGAATTTGATTGATGCAATGGCATGAATACATATTCTAATTAAAAGAAAAATCGTATTTTTATTAATATACGTGCGATCAATGCCTGTAAATCTAGTGTTAATATAATCACACTTATTATGTATTTATAAGAGCATAATCCTGCGTGGCATAATGAAAGAAATCTCCCCAATCAATTGTCAATATGTTAACATGCATCTTTGGTAATGTTAATTGCTATGAATATAATTACCTTAATCATTTTGTCAGTTTCAGCGTTATCATCGTTATCGTCAGAATTCGCTTCCACTGCTTCATTCTCTTCTAAATAAGTTTCAACCTCTTCATTTGCTGCTTTCTTCTTTGATGTACCACTCACTGTATATGGTACAACTACAGAATTTTTGTTGTATGTCCTTGTAAAAGCAGCCTTTACCTATAATGAATTTTCACTATTTTTTTTCTGTCTAAATATTTTTAAATTGTTAGAAATGTATTGGAACTTGAAACTGACTTTACTATCAACGACTTGCATGGGATCGCGATCACCGGGCCACAATGAAGTTTCTATCAAAGAATCCAGATCTTCCCTATTAACAAAAATGTAAATGTTCGACAGTAAATTTCAAAGTTCTGACGTTTTATATTTTACATCTCATGGTTTAATACTTAACCTGAGTAAGTGATAGTGACTTATAACATTCATCGCTTCATCTATTCCTTCAGTACCATTTACAGCCAAAGGTCTGACTATAGCATCCCTAAGAGGTTTAATGTAATCCATGTTTATTGCTTCTTTGCTTACGCCAGTAGCTAAACGTGAGTGCACAGTAATCTCTTGTATCATTCTACAATATTATAGAAAATTTCCATATAAAATATAAAAATTATAAGAAAAATCATCGTATATATGTATATGTATTACCTATCAAATTTGCGAGCTTTCGAGTTACGCCCAAGCCAAGATGGAAAATTAATTTGACTACTAATATAACCAGACATTACTGTGCCAGGTATAACGGAAGAATAACAGGCTTGCACTGGCAAAAGAGACCAAGCACCATTACTTCTTATTGATTTTTCCACTATATCTCCAAGTGCTAAACTTTTAGCACTTTCTGCTACCTTTGCCAATAATTCATCTCTGCTCAGAAACAAAATTGTATTTTTTTAATGTATTTGTTTATCTCAAAAATATACTTTTAAAAAGGGCCAAAACTCCAATATATTGAAATTAAGTTTTTAATAAATCTCAATCTTAACTTATATTACTCTGTATGACCACTCATGGACCATATTTGGATTCTATTTTATTTGATATTTAGGGTAATAATTTCTACTTCCCACCTTACTCTAATATTATTATGTAAGCATATTCGAAAAAGTTGATATACAGTGAAAACTCGATAAATGTCGCTACTCCGGGTCCGGTCAGCAACACTTACGGAATAGGAAAATCGTCTTTCGAATTTGATTGTAGTTTGCCGACGCTTCGAACGTAGAAAGAGTCAGTAGCTAAAGAAGAAAGAGGGACTGAAACTCGGATTTATCGCCCCAGTTTAAATATCTGCGTCAGTGTGACCACACTACTGCACAGAAGAAAGTTTTTTATTTTTTACTTTTTGTTAATAAAAATTTCACTATCATGTTGGGGAGATTTCTTTGATTAAAATGAGGCTAAACACGATATAAATCGGTCAATATTTGGTAGCATAATATTGAATTAAATATTGTACTTGCGAGTCTTTCTCTCTTTATTTATCCTTCTTGTGCTGTCCTTTTCTATGTTCGGAAATATCAAAGAACGACGCATCGAGGTGCTGGCTACATTTATCGAACGGGAGGTAGCTATTTTCAAACGGAACAGTTCCACCGTTTCGTAAGTGATCAAAAACTGCAACACTTATGAAATAGGGGGTTTCGTTAGCTACCACTGTTCGATAAATGTACCAATCCACTGACCTTGCGAAGATACGAGTACACAATATTTAATTCAATATTATGGTAACAAATATTGGCCGATTTATATCGTGTTTAGTCTCATTTTAATTAGAAAAATCTTCCCCACATGATAGTAAAATTTTTATTAAAAAAAAGTAAAAAATAAAAAACTTTCTTCTTGTACAGTAGTGTGGTCACGCTGACAGGGACATTTAAACTAAGTTGACGAAGGCAATAAAGATTTTTAAAGAAAGCCGCTACGTCTCCGGTTACACTTCGCCTCACTGGTTCAAGGGGGATCCCCCTAGTGGTGGGGATAAAAATGTATCATTTATGGAACAGCTCTTGAGGACATTTATCGAGTTTTCACTGTAATTGAAAAAAAGATATTCACTTGTTAACACGTTGACTTATGTCATACGGATTTTGATGAATTTGGCTTACCGATCAACTTATTAAAAGTGCTACCATAGAAAGAAAGTTTTTGTTATATTATTTCTCTCTGTACAGTAGAACATCGATTATCTAATTGTCGATAATCTGAATAACCGATTATCCAAACACAGAATGAGTCAAGCATGTGTGTACGTATTTCAACTATTTAACAATGTTTATATTATAGGGCACGTATCCTAGTTGGTTTAAATGTCCGAGTTTAGTATCTTGTCTAAATGGTATAGCCGAATAAGAGGGTCAAATGTGCCTCCCAACCGAATTGAACGAACGACGGATCATTTGATAGCTTATCCAAAAAAAATCATGTTTTTGTACAATTTCTCTTGACCTATTGATTAAAAAAATGTAAAAAATTCAGAGACATTTCGGGTACCGGGGCACATATTTTGGGAGATTTTCAGATTTTTTGATTGAAGAACCAAGTAGTAAACAATAAAAAACCGCAAAAAATGCCGAAAAATGCCGAAAAATGCCGATTACATATTGAAGGAGGCCCGGAACTACTTTTATACTTTTACAGTAAACAGGTATTGATATTACTATTATTCTCAATTTTTTCAGATTTTTCATTTTGGTGCGCCGCAGTAAAAAAAAATAAAAACCGATTTTTTCTCTAACTTATACGTTGAATTTTTATGCATTCTTCAATATATGAGTGTTTTGTAGACTGTTTAATGTTTTTACACTAAACAGAATTACATAACAATTGAAACAAATAAAATAAAGCAAACCGTTGAGCGCAATATATCCTAAAAAACTAACAATATTTTCAACGGTATCGGTGGCGCAGCGTTAGAGTGTCTGGTTGCGAAACCACTGGAATTTTTTTTACCGTAGGTTCGAGTCTCTCTACTGGACTTCTGGTATTTTTTTTTTCAAATTCCAACTATATAACAACGATTTATATTTATTTATAAATGTTCTAGGAACATTTTACAAATATTTTAATCTGAAATATGTATAAATTTAATTTTGGAACGTTTTTTGCGTCCTTATTTGTTTTTGTCAACCACGATTATTGTTTAACATCACTTACACTGCAATTAATGTGAAATGTTAGTTTTCAAATCTCTTACCTTTGACTATTGTGAATGGATCGGAGCAGAAGATTGTATATTGGCTTACTATTACTTCTTCTCCCCCTTCGTATCAAGCAGATCTTCCCTTCTTTTTCTCTTTCTTTGATAAATATGAATGTTTGCTATGGCTTCAGTATTTAACGTTTTAATATCTTCGTCCGTTTTTTAAAAATAGCAGTGTAGAGGTATTCGTACCGTAAACTCTAGTGCTGAAAATTCCCAAATGAGGATTTTAAATATATATAGAATTTATGGCTTCACTGATTTTAGTTCTTTATAACTACTATGGGCAATAATAGTATCAGTTTTCAATCTTTGTTAAAGAGTCACAATAGATTTATTTTTTAATTACTCAGTTCAGGCTACTGTATGTGATGAGATTTATACATAATTACTTGGCATGGACCGTAGGGGGCGGTCCTACAAGTGTTTCCATTATCTTTAAAACCAGCCAGTAAGGAAAGGATAGTGACCCTTACATGTCTATGGTAGAAACTGAAGTCGTAGCAAACATTCATATTTATCAAAGAAAGAGAAAAAGAAGGGAAGATCTGCTTGATACGAAGGGGGAGAAGAAGTAATAGTAAGCCAATATACAATCTTCTGCTCCGATCCATTCACAATAGTCAAAGGTAAGAGATTTGAAAACTAACATTTCACATTAATTTCAGTGTAAGAGATGTTAAACAATAATCGTGGTTGACAAAAACAAATAAGGACGCAAAAAACGTTCCAAAATTATATTTATACATATTTCAGATTAAAATATTTGTAAAATGTTCCTAGAACATTTATAAATAAATATAAATCATTGTTATGTAATTAGAATTTAAAAAAAAATAAAATACCAGAAGTCCAGTAGAGAGACTCGAACCTACGGTAAAAAAAATTCCAGTGGTTTCGCAACCAGACACTCTAACGCTGCGCCACCGATACCGTTGAAAATATTGTTAGTTTTTTAGGATATATTGCACTCAACGGTTTGCTTTATTTTATTTGTTTCAATTGTTATGTAATTCTGTTTAGTGTAAAAACATTAAACAGTCTACAAAACACTCATATATTGAAGAATGCATAAAAATTCAACGTATAAGTTAGAGAAAAAATCGGTTTTTATTTTTTTTTACTGCGGCACACCAAAATGAAAAATCTGAAAAAATTGAGAATAATAGTAATATCAATACCTGTTTACTGTAAAAGTATAAAAGTAGTTCCGGGCCTCCTTCAATACGTAATCGGCATTTTTCGGCATTTTTCGGCATTTTTTGCGGTTTTTTATTGTTTACTACTTGGTTCTTCAATCAAAACATCTGAAAGTCTCCCAAAATATGTGCCCCGGTACCCGAAATGTCTCTGAATTTTTTACATTTTTTTAATCAATAGGTCAAGAGAAATTGTACAAAAACATGATTTTCGTTTTCACCCCATTACTACCCCCACGGTCGAGATTTCAAGTTAAAAATTTACACACAGGGTTTTTTTTGAATAAGCTATCGAATGATCTGTCGGTCGTTCAATTCGGTTTGGGGGCACATTTGACCCACTTATTCGGCTATACCCTTTAGTGTGATCATACGTATATGTAGATTTCATTCATACGATGAATATTAAAAGAAAAAAGTAGTGCTGAAATCAGATGAAAAATTGGATATTATTGAATGTTTAAGAAAGGATAAAAATATTTCCAATTTAGCGAAAGAATATAATGTTGGAAGATCCATGATTAGCAACAGTAAAAGCAGTAAATCAGAATTGTTAAACTTTCAACAGAAATTAGAAATTTTGGTTCTCGTAAAAGCTTAAAACAGCAACTAATGATAAATTAGATGATATTCAAGTGAATCTTGCAAAAACAAAATTGTAATACCACGTTTAATTTTTAATATTGTATTTTCCTTATTATTAAATATGTATTTATTTACGTATAAACCATTCAAATTAAAGAATTTCTTAATTTCTATCGATTTATGACATAATTATGAATTTGATTCTTTCAGACTGATTATGCGAAAAATCGATCATCTAAACGAATTTGTCTCCAAATTAATTCAGATAATCGGTGTTCTACTGTATTGCTATTTTCTATTCTCAAACAAGAGGTACTGATATTTCCTAATCATATGACTCACTTTGTACATATAGAAAAAAGAGATTTTTTTGTTAATTACACATACCTTTGTCCTTGAGGCGTAACTAATAAATAATTTTCCTGTACAAATAACGGTGCTATGTTATAATCGTGGAAAAATAAATCACTTTTGTCATGAATATTCATATGCTTATGCTCCTCGGCAGAAAATACTTTCTTTATAACATCCCAAGGTCCTAATTTCAGATCTTTGTTCACATGCTGTTTTTGAGATTTTTCTTGACGACCAGTTTTCCCAACAAACAATGCTAAATAATTTATTATTTGTCGAACATCTTGATTAGTGGATTCGATTAAACGATCTAGATCTTCCGTCGACATAGTAATGTTTTCTTTGTAACATATGGATTTCATTGCTCCCTATGTAACAAATCATAGTTAACAGAAAATTTATACTATGGACAAGTATCGTCCTTCCACGAGAAGAAGGTACAGCGTGTTTACGTCCCTACTCTTGCTGCAGTCCGCTGATTGGCTGTCACCGATCTTCGTCACCGTTTTCAACCAATACCTGTAAGTCAGCGGACTGCAACAGGAGTAGGGATGTAAACACGCTGTGCCTTCTTCTCGTAAGAGAATGGTAAGTAACACGTTCGCTGTTTAATAATTAATACATGGGTGAAGACAGTCCTGACGCGGAAGTCCTTCATTCAAACATGCTTCTTAAACCAGATGAACCTTCAAAACTGTTTTCTATTTTTCACTCAAAATAGAGTGGATTTAAATAAACAGATCATCACGTGATCAAACTTCCACCATCCGTTATAACAACATGATCCATTACAGAGTTGGTCGAAACACGACAATCTGTTAAAAAACCGATGGCAGAACTACTATTAAAAACCTGTTACAAAAGTTCAAATTTTCAAAAGAAACTAAAATATTACTATTTATACATTCTTTTTTCCTCCAATTTCCATTTTGCTAGCTCTGCAGCAGAGGATGGAAAATTAAGCTAACAAACGAAACATCTCTATTTTTTTGATTTTTTAAATTTATTATATTCATGTCTGCCACGAAATACTTATTATTTTTTCAAGATATATAAACAATATCCATTCTTGCTTACGAAAACAGTAAACGTGTTAATTACTTACATATAATAAATTTTCGTTTTACCCTAATCTGTTCTATTCTGGGCTTCGAAAATCGAAGGTCGAATACGTAATTAGCGAGCGTTCTCATCTTAGGATTATTTCGATCGTTGCAGATACAAATAATTGGTACGTCGGTTGATTTAATTAAGGCGATTAATTCCTGTAAACCACCACGATCTTCATTACCAGCCATACCATCAACTTCGTCCATTAGTAAAACGTGTTTTGATGTTGGCTTATTTTTATTATCTGTAAAACGTAATGTTTCAAGGAAAAGATGGTGCAATTTCCATTGAAATTTGTATAAATTCGCAAAAATACGTATATGTTTGTATATATATACATACCTATGAAGTAATCTTTCAATGAAGTATTGGATAAAAGTTCTGCTACTTCTTGTTGCAGAAGTTTCTTACTTCTGGTATCTGATGCATTGAATTCTACAAGATCAAAACCTAATTCATTACAAACAACTTGAGCAGTTGTAGTTTTTCCAATTCCAGGTGGACCAGATAATAAAGCAGCTTTAAAAATAGCACCATCGTCACTTTTTGCCCAGGGACCTAATACGAATAAAATTAAAAATTGAAATAAAAACAAGATAGAACTGTAATTATACTTAAAAATATTTAAAATTATTACACTTTTAAAATTAATACTAACTCGGTTTGGTATGTTTAACTTGACCACTTTGATTTTTATGCCAATTCATTAGCCATTTATGCAATTTCTTGGCATTGCTTTTGTCTCCTTGCTGCCCCAAAATCTGTTTCATAGTTTTCGGTCTATACTTCTCAACTAACGCCTGTGTTTGTATATTTCCATTTATCTAAAAAAAAATGTCAGCAATACAAAAGCTTTCTTAATTATTATTGATCGTGTTGAATTTAATCGAATCTTACATCTTGTAAAGAATCTGTTTTTATTTGCACACACTTTGCATCATTAATTTCTTTTTTATTTTGTATAAAAGATTCATGTACTTCAGTTTGTTCTTTCTTAGGTGATGACAATATTTTTGCTACTTCTATCGTATCTTTATTATCAGATCTTTTTTTATAAGAGAATTCTTTTGATGAAGAAATTCTTTTTTCTGTATTTTTGTCAATATGTTCTTTTTTATGTGGTGAACATATTTTTTCCAATTTTTCTGTTTCCTGATTTAATATAGTTTTCATTTTCTTTGTTGGTGAAGGGGACGTGTCTTCTGACTCCCTATCTTTTCGTTTCGTTCTATCTTTTGATTTTGTTCGCGATTGTAACACATCATGAGCATGGCCTGCATTTCTCGTACGAATCATCTCTAACAAATCATCCTCCGATATTTGTTTTATATTAAAACTAGTTGCCTAAAGATATATTGATATACGTTAATGAAAAAAAATATATATTGAGAATTATATTATAATAATTTTAAACAAAATTTCAGTGAATTAGTAATTATCAATACTTTTGACAATTTTGAAGGACCAGCCTGATCTCCTACTATGACATAATTAGTTTTCTTGGTGACTTGAGATACAATTCGTCCACCATATTTTTGAATAAGTTCGTCAGCTTCCTCCCTTTCCAAAGAATCCAAAACACCAGTTATCACGAAACTTAATCCTGCAAGACAATATTCGGCACCCTGAAATATTAATATTAATATTTGGAATATACGATATTATATTTACAACAAAGATTTTGAAATAAAATGTACAATGACACTTCTTTTGTAAGTAATAATCAGAGTTGGTTATATATTTATCTAGATAACAAATGAAAATAACGCTTAATGATTTATCGAAATGAAGATTTATACGAAATTATTCGAATAACACCCAATTTTGATAATAATGTAACATTCATTACATACTTCAGGAATTTCTTTAGATCCGGGATGTCTGGCTCCTCCCCTCTGAAGATACTGTTGATACATTGCAACATTTTGCTTTTTTTTCTCAAGTCTTTCCTCATATATATCTGATGCTTCTGACTTTTTAGGAGATACTTTCCTCTTCAGTACTTTGTGTTCTATTTCTATTTTGGATGTGGAATGTTTTTTCTTACTCTTAAATTTATTACTAACTTCAGAATCTGCATGCTCTATATCTTCACTTGTACTGTCATTAGAAGACTTTTTATTCTTTAGTATGTGAGTTTCATCCTTTTGTTCTAAATTCGATTTTTCAGGTGTCTTTTTCTCTTTGACATTGTGTTTGTTCTTAACAGGCGTTATTTTTTCTTCATCATTAACTTTGTCCTTAGGAGGTGTCGTTTTCTTCTCTTCATTCTTAGTACTGGTTGTGTGTGAACCTTGTTCTTTGTGTTTACTATTAAATGAATCTATATAAGGCAAAAATTCAAATTTTAACTTCATATTTTGTTATTTATTTATTATAATTTTTTTTCATATTAACTAATACCTGTGTCAGACTTAATCTCTGCTAAATATTTCTGCTCGATATCAGATGTATCCAATTCGACCAAAGTAGCTTCAAAATCATCATCATTATGGCTTTTAGCTTCCTATAATAATAAACAAATATTAATATATATTCTAATATTGCTAAGACAATAATGAATTACCTTTTTTTGCAATTGTTTTGATACTTTCTGTACTTTCTGCGCTTCCTGTCTTCTTATTGGTTTCTTACCAAAGATATTAGAAGGAGAAACAATTTTCTGTAGCTTTGTATGTTCATCAGAATTGAATGATATAGGTTTGTCTCCTAACTTTTTTGTTTTCTAAAATGTAGCCAGAAGCACATTTCATTATTGTTACTGAAATCATTATTATTTGAAATTGTGATAACTACCACTTAACACTTTGACTGCCACATTGGTCATATATGACCAGCCACAGTAGTCATCAGTGACCGGAGCGCTTGAACTACTTACAATCGTTAAGAGTTGAATGAAAATTGACACTTGGTGCATTTTGAACATAATCGCTAATTAGAAGATACTTTGAAATAACAAGTGCCCCATTGAGCAATTAAAAATTTTCATTAGAACATCGAAAATAAAAGATTAATTTCGATGAAATCTTGCATCTGACGGTACACATCCATGGTAGCCTGAGCAAAATATGTGATTTCGGCATGGCAGTCAAAGTGTTAACAAGCAGAAATAAAATCTGAAACTTCAAGAAACTAAATTCATAGTATATACTGCCTGTTATAATAAGAAATTGATCCAAAAATTTGTAGTTAATCAAGTACAACTTAATGTGATTATTAAACGTTTTAAAGAGATATTCTACTATAAACCTTTCAAAAAATCGTTATTCTTTAAGAAGCTGAAATTATAATAAAAAATTATATTCAAACCTTTGGTCGCTTAACGGGTGACGGTGTCTTTTCGTCATTTTCATCGGATGAAATTACTATGCGTCTTTTTACTGCTTTCGTGGGTGTAGAAGTAGAACTGGTTTTAACACTCTGGAAATAGGATCGTATGTCCTACGAATATAAAGAAAAACGTTACGTTTTATGAAATTTCTGATTCCATAGTCAATTGGCAATTTTAAAATGCACGCTTCTAAATAGAATGAATCTAACCTCGTTTGCAATATTTGATTCCGAACATTAAAACTTACTTTTGGCATGTTTCAAGCATACAAAAATCTTCGGTATCTGTCAATTCTTGACAGATGTGTCAATGTTTAAAACGATCAAACGATACTTTACAAGTAGGAGATAAACAAATGAAGAAATTCAAAACTGTTTCGCTTCAAGGTACTTAGTCACATGTCACATGCCACAAATCAACACGCACTTCCGTAAAGCATGGTGTATTACCACTGATACCACACTTGTGCAATGATAGGTAGTGTTGCGCGTCCGGCGGCGAATTTCCGATCCTCCGTAGGGAATTCGGCGGGGAACGCTGCCCGTGGAGTGCTAAGGCACTCTGCTCCTTGGACGCGGGAGTTTCAAATAATGATCGCTAGGTAAGGAGAATAATAAATGGATACAAGGATTTGAACACACGTAAATAGTACTTTAATTAACTCAATAAAGGAATATAAAACAAAACAACCAAGATTTCACAGGAATCTTGTAACCCGTTCGTACACTTCCGCTCTCTTAATTCAAGATGCTTCTCTCTTTGTCGTTTCAACTCTATTAACTAACTCAAATAATACAAGTACGATCTCGCTTAAGTTACAATGATACGTCCGTTCACTTTCGATCTCCGGATTCAAGTGAGGCGACTGTCGCTCTGCCGGCCGGTCGAGGCTCAGCCCACACGTAGGCCCCTCCAGATCGTCCTTTCCTTTATTCGGGCCGGGCGCAAAACTCTCGCACGCGCGTTCCTCGGCACACCCCCGATCCCTCGAGAACGGTCCTCTGCAGCACGTGGCCGTTATCGGCTTTCCCACGCAGCCCGTTTCCGGCTATCGATAGCGCACGGCCCAAGTTCCAGGAATTACACACTTAGGAGAAGGGATCAAAGGGGAGCTCACGACGATCCAAACATCCGTCTCCAATAAATTATTGGCTAATCTATGACCCGAAGTGAAGTCATTAAAAGAATCTCTAACCACTTTTAAACCTTAGAATTGGCGCGGACTCCACTTTGTCTCCCTTTCCTATTACATTCGTGTAATCTGATTTAAACCTCGCGCCCCCCAGAGCTTCTGCTACACGGCGCCAGGCGGCGACCACAACAGTAGTAACTTTAAGCCAATGTTACCAGACTGGGCACTGGGTTCCACATTCGCACACTATGCCAGATCATGGTACGTAAGCTCGTAGAGTTTCGGAAAGTCAAAAAAGACAAATTGACACTCGCCCTCTTTCTCGAATCTCCGAAGCTGCCCGAAGTGAGCATAGATGCGATTCACACCATCTCAAGGGAGTCGAGAGAAAAAACAAATGTGAATCTTTTCATTTCGCTCTCGATACAACTGAAATCTGACAACCGACAGGCATTTTTACTTTGTAACACAGGTAGGAACATATAAACAAAGTATCCTAAGTCATGGATGCAGAAAATCAAAATCAGAATGTGGCAAAGAACATTATTAAAGGACCATGTTGATTCACAATGGTGAAAAAAGATCATTAGAATTAGAAGAAAAACATAAAGCTAGCAACGCAAAAAGAAAAAGTTGAATGTTTACAAAAAGCAAAACAAGATGCAAAATCTAATTATAGCATGAGTAATTAAATACGTCAACAACGTCGAGATTATATCATTTTTATTAAACAATAATTTACAGTTACATCTATTTAATTAAAGATAATTTATGATACATAAACTATACTTCTTTGCTTTTAGGTTTTATAACTAATGGGCCTCGAGAACGAGGCGTTAGTACAGAACTAATTAGTCCATAGAAAACCTTAAATTATGACACAGAATTTAATCAATTAAATAGCAATTGGATAAAAGATGTTACAATCACTCAAATTAATAAATACGATACAGTTTATATACCGATATTTGTTAAGTACTTACTTCTTAATTATGAACGAAATAGTTACAAAAAATATCCTTGAATGCTGTCAAGGATCTATACTATATTATTCAATTTTAAAAGTTCATAATTTAATCACAGAAAAGATGTAATTAGTGAATAATCAAGCCGTGGTTACATTAATCGAATGGGCGGGAATATCTCTCTGTCTCTCTCACATAGTATTTTTCTTTTTCTAGCGCAATCGACTTCCTTTCCTGTTCTGTGATCCTGATACTTTTTACCATAGAGAGATGACTGTTGGCTAGGCACCCACGAACTGAACGAGGCAAGGGCAAGGAGAGAGCAAGAAGTAAGAGAGATGGCGCTCTTACGTCACGCCACATAGTAGTAGGAGCTCCATATCCACAAGAGATACATTGTTGTTATATTCATGGTTAGTATTCTGAGCGTACGGTTACGCCAATGTTGTTCACTCTTGTCCTATGCTACTCTTTCGCGATACGTTCGTTCGCATCCTTCGTTACGCAATGGAATTTTGTTGCGAACGACTCACCAATAATGACAATTGTGTGAGAACAGGCGTTGCTATTACGCTATGGCCAATCGGCGTGCCTAGTTATCAAGTCATCTCTCTATGATAGTTCGAATCTCAATTCAAATTGTCACGCATTTCAGAATTTTTAGCGCGATGAATTAAATAACCGTCGCTTCCAGTAATTGTTTATAACTAATTAATTATATGAAAAAATGTGTAGAAAACTAGTTGAAGAACTCAATTAGATATTAATTAGATACGTATAATATTTGGAGCAACTATAAAGGATTATAAAACTTTAGAATTTATAAAAATAAATTAATGGAAAAGGTAAAGGAGAATGTAGATAAAAAGTATGGAAAATAAGTATTATAATTTTGATTTTTTATTAATATAAACATAAGGAATGTTTTACACATTTCTAACTCTATTAAATAATAACATATACACATTTTATAAATAAATTAAATTGATGAGTAATATGTTTTTATAATACCTTTATGATTGAAGAAATTTGGTTTTAGAGCTTTGAAATTTATATTTTACGTAAAGTACAATGTATAAATGTAGAGCTTATAAGTGATTCAAATCATCATCAAATTACAGAGTGACCTGGATGAAAATTACGATGTATCGATTACTCTCAACCGTCAACTTATTGATACAGTAGAAGCAAAACTGTCAAATTTGAGATGGCACCACGAACAGAGAACAACACGTGTCTGAAAAAGAATTCAGAGAATTCTTTTCATTGTTTAAATAATTTATACATGAAAACCGGCGCATGTTTCGCAACAGTTTAAAGTTCGTTTATTTTATATCATACGTTATTCAAGGATATAACTGTATTGGATAATATATTGTATATCGAAGATTAAAGTATAACCTCTACAATGGTGAAAGAACAATTTAGGGAAACCGACGTAGCCCGTAAAATGTACGCATATCGCTTTAATCAACTTTAAACTTTAAACATTAATTTTAACAAAGTAAATTATAAGTTCTATGGTATGATTGTAATTGAATTTTCTATCAAAACATTTATTTATAATTTTACAGAAATTATAAATTTAAATAATATATAGGACAGTGCAATAAAAATTCGATCTATGTAATTAATATATATAATTTACAATCGATTTCATTTATTGTAAACTATTACTCATGTTTAATTAGTTCCCATGTATCATTCGGAGTGGATGGCCGCCACAACATGGAAAGGCAGGCCCATATGCATGTTGTGGCCAAAAATTTATATAATCAAGATGTCGAACATACTCCAGTTCCATACGGTGTACTTGACAGAAGGATGGTATTTATAACATTAAAATTCTTTTCTATCCTAATTTCTCATATATTAATACTTAAAGAGCAAGCATTTCCATACAGGAACATAAAATATATCCACTCCTAATTCAGCATTTTTATGATTAATATTAAATTAAAATATTATAATTTGAAATTACAAATTTTCAGGGGACATGTAATAATACCATCTGTTGCGTATCGTGTGGCAAATCTTTAAGTGAATGTATTGGACACTTTGGTTACATCGATTTGGAATTACCAGTTTTTCATGTTGGTTATTTCAGAGCGATTATTGGTATTCTTCAGACCATTTGTAAAGTAATTTATCGTTAATTTCATTTACATTTATATTATTTAATAGTAATTGCAACATTAATTATAGTATTCTGATTCATAGAACTGTTCTCATGTTATGCTATCCAAAGTTGATAAAAAACGTTACTTAGCCAGAGCGTTAAATCCAAATTTGGGATATTTATCACGTAAAGCCTTACGTAAACAAATTTTGGATAAAGCTAAGAAGACTACAGTTTGTCAAAATTGTGGTGATCTTAATGGAACGGTTAAAAAGGCTGGCTTGCTTAAAATAGTTCATGAAAAGTATAAGGCCAAGAAGAAAGTAGATCTTATTGTTCAAGAAAAGCTGGCAGAATATAATAATGTGCTCGAAGATAATAAAGCATTGGAAGGAGTACTTCAAAGTGGATTGATTAATGTGTTAAATCCATTAGAGGTAAAAATATTTTACTTTTATGTTTTAAACATGTACTATATAATAATAGTTGCAGGAAGTGTTAGGTGGTTTGAAATAAATAAATTCATAAGTACTCATGGCTGTCTCAAGCACTTCTCGAGAGTATCAATGAATATATTTACCTACTTTATAAATGTTAATATTTACGCAAATGTTTTGATTTAAGGTACAAAGCATTTTAGAAAAAATACCAGAAAACGACATTCCTCTATTAATGATGAATCCAGAATGTGCATTACCAAAGGATTTAGTATTAACAAGAATCCCAGTACCCCCAATTTGTATTAGACCTAGTGTTGTATCAGATTTGAAAGCAGGTACAACCGAAGATCACCTAACAATGAAATTATCAGAAATAGTCTTTATTAATGATGTTATACAAAAACATAGACAAAGTGGAGCCAAAGTACAAATGTATAGCGAAGATTGGGAATTTTTACAATTGCATTGTGCTCTTTATATAAATAGTGAAATGTCTGGTATACCTCTTAACATGCAAGTAAGTTTCTAATGAATTAAACTTACACAATTTTCTGTTCATTAAAAATATCTTTTCTTCTTTTTTCCTTGATTTAAAATTTTCTTCTTTGTTAGACATGAAATATGTTTACCTATTGGCGAATAGGTTCCCTGTTTACCAAAAACTATTACTAATAAAGTATTAAAATATTTTAGCCAAAAAAATCTGGTAGAGGATTGGTCCAAAGATTGAAGGGAAAGCAAGGTCGCTTTCGTGGTAACTTATCTGGTAAACGTGTAGATTTCTCTAGTCGTACTGTTATTTCACCAGATCCCAATCTTAGAATTGAACAGGTAAATTGTAATTTATATTTACATAATTTATTTAGGATAGCTAATTATGAATAATAACATGTTATTAATTAGGTTGGTGTACCTATTCACGTGGCCAAAATTTTAACCTATCCTGAGAAAGTTAATCCATCAAATATAGAATTAATGCGAAAATTAGTAAGAAATGGTCCAGATATACATCCAGGTGCAAATTTCATACAACAAGGAAAAACTCAATTTAAAAAATATTTGAAATACGGTAATCGACAGAAGATTGCCCAAGATTTACAAGTAATATTGCCTATTTAAAAATATTTTTAAACCTAATTTACAAAATGTGAGTAATTGTCTTTATTTTATTCAACAGTATGGTGATATTGTCGAAAGGCATCTTAGGGACGATGATGTAGTATTATTTAATCGCCAACCATCATTACATAAACTAAGTATCATGGCACATAAAGCGAAAGTGTTACAACACCGAACATTTAGGTTTAATGAATGTGTTTGTACTCCATATAATGCCGATTTTGATGGCGATGAGATGAATCTACATTTACCACAAACTGAAGAAGCAAGAGCAGAAGCTTTGGTTTTAATGGGGGTAACATAAAAATTATTTTGTATTGAGTATACTATATTCTACATATTCATATGCAAAACAATATTAATATATATCTTGATTTACATACCTTTAGAATAAATCGAATTTAGTTACACCACGTAACGGAGAATTATTAATAGCAGCGACACAAGATTTTATCACCGGTGGATATCTTTTAACTCAAAAAGATACATTTTTAAACAAAGCTCAAGCAAGTCAATTAGCTGGTTGTCTTTTGGCAGGAACTGATATTTCTATGTCCGTTAATCTTCCTGAACCAGCTATTTTAAAACCAACCACGTTATGGACAGGAAAACAAATTTTCAGTTTAATTTTAAAACCCAACAATGCTTGCAAGATTAAAGCTAATTTAAAAACCAAAGGAAGAGCTTACACTAGCAATGAAGAATTATGTATTAATGATTCCTGTGCGTATAAACGCTTATACTTCAAAAACTTGTTCTCTTATTAACCCTTTGACTACTAAAAGTGCTTATAGACGTTCAGTCAGTACGTTGACTGCGTGCGTTAAACGCCTACGAGCGTTCAACCTGTGTGTTGTTCAAGGCATGAAAAAGTTTTCCACGCACAACTTGTGCTTACATTAAAATCGACCGTAGTCAAAGAGTTAATTAGAGTGTTTAGAAAAATAACGAAATTTGTATTCCTTTGCTAAGCACACTAGTTAAAGTCTTATATTATCAAGCAAAATAACGACTGTATTTTAATTTATTTGTTTATTTAAAATAATAGGGAAATAATAAGTATGGTAAATTACAGATGTTATTATCAGAAATTCAGAATTAATAGCAGGATCTATGGATAAATCTACATTGGGTTCGGGATCGAAGCAAAACATATTTTACATTTTATTGCGCGATTGGGGTGAAGATATTGCAACAACTGCTATGTGGCGATTGGCAAGAATGGCAAGCTTCTTCCTTATGAACAGGGGCTTTTCTATCGGTATCGGTGACGTAACGCCTGGACAAGGGCTTCTTAAAGCTAAGCATGAACTTTTAAATGCTGGGTAAGTGAACATTTTAAAAATACAGATAAAATCATTTCTAATAACGTCATTACGTATTGGAATTTAGATATTCTAAATGTACTGAATACATTCGTCAAATGGAAGAAGGGCGTCTTATATGTCAGCCTGGATGTACAGAAGAGGAGACTTTGGAAGCAATGATACTAAAAGAACTTTCAGTAATTCGTGACCATGCTGGTAAAGCATGTTTGAAAGAACTCCATCCGAGCAACAGTCCATTAGTGATGGCTTTATCTGGTAGCAAAGGCAGTTTTATCAATATTTCACAAATGATTGGTAAGTGCGGCAATGATATTTAAACACAAAAATTAATTAATCTTATTACTTACTATTATTACATTGATCAGCGTGTGTGGGGCAACAAGCTATCAGTGGTCATAGAGTTCCTAACGGATTTGAAGATAGAGCTTTACCGCACTTCGAACGACACTCAAAAATCCCAGCAGCTAAAGGTTTTGTCGAAAACTCATTTTATTCCGGTCTAACTCCAACAGAATTTTTCTTTCACACAATGGGTGGAAGAGAAGGTCTTGTAGACACAGCGGTTAAAACTGCGGAAACCGGTTATATGCAACGAAGATTGGTTAAAAGTTTAGAAGATTTGTGCCTTCATTATGATATGACAGTTCGTAATTCGGTAGGAGATATTGTACAAATACTGTATGGAGGAGATGCTTTGGATCCTACATATATGGAAGGTAAGAATTCCTGGTAATTATTTATATTAGTGGGATACCTCACTGATGCCATTGAAACAGAAATTCAAGTATATTTTCGCGAATATCTCAAAAACTAAGGCCGAGCAGCGGTAATATGTATAAGGAAAAGTTGCTCATGATGATGACTCCGACAACATATTTCAAGGTCATCAAAATCGGTTAGGTAACTCCTAATGTAAATAATTACCGAATTCCTTACATATTATATTGTTGATGAACTAATAAAATAATTATTTTAATAGGCAAAGATTGCCCAGTGGACTGTAAGAGAATATTAGATCACGTAAGAGCTAAATCGCCCTGTAAAAATGAAAAACCACTAGATGGTCCCAGTGTAATTAAAGCTACAAACGAACTTCTAAATTCCGAGGAATACAAGTGTCTCAGTGAAGAATTTAGGCAGGAATTGTCGTAAGTACAGTATTTATAAAAAGAATTTTTTTTACTCATAACAATTCTCGCATCATTTCGATTCCCATAACTGATTAAGTGTTACTATATCTATTGCAGCACATTCCTTAAAACTGTGGCTCGTAAAATAGCATGCTTTCGACATAATGCTCCATCGAACGTACCTGTAATTTTACAACTTGAACGACTTACAGTTTCTCAATTAGTTGAATTTATCCATACTTGTAAAGAAAAATACATGCGAGCTAAAATAGAACCAGGCACTGCTGTAGGTGCACTTGCTGCGCAAAGTATTGGAGAACCGGGTACACAAATGACCTTGAAAACTTTCCATTTTGCCGGTGTTGCGTCTATGAATATTACTCAAGGTGTACCACGCATTAAAGAAATTATCAACGCAAATCCTAAGATCAGCACTCCTATTATTACAGCGGCCCTAGTAAGTCCTTCGTTTCAAATACGCCGTATAATGCATACCCATATGTGATAAATTAAGACATATTAACTTCCTTTTCATTTTTATGCTGATATTAGGAAAATGATACAGATCCAGAATATGCAAGAAGAGTAAAAGGTAGAATTGAAAAGACTACTTTAGGAGAAGTGACCGAATATGTCGAGGAAGTGTATCTACCGGACGATTGTTTCCTGTTAATAAAGTTAGATGTTGATAGAATAAAATTGTTAAAGTTGGAAGTAGATGTAGATTCCATACGTTATTCGTAAGTATATGAATGTATATGAACTTCGTAACATAGACATGTATTTCAAACAAGTAATCTATTTCAATTAGAAAATACATTATAATTTCTACAGAATTTGTACATCAAAATTAAAGCTTAATCCGAAATTGGTAAATGTTAGAGGTGATTCTATTATTACTGTGAATCCTAGTAAAAATAAATACAGTTTAAATTATGCGCTCACGCAATTGAAGGAAACTGTTCCAAATATCGTTGTAAAGGTAAGAACAACAGACATTTTGTACATGTGAATAATATTTAAATATTTGTATTTAAATATTACAGGGTTTACCATCAGTTTCTAGAGCGGTCATTCATAATGACGATTCAAATGGTAAAACAACATACAAATTGTTCGTGGAAGGAGATAATATGCGTGAAGTCATGGCTACGCATGGCGTTTTAGGTCGGAAAACAACTTCCAACAACACGTTAGAAGTAACTTGAAATAAGTTAAAATTGAAAGGAAAAAATATTTTATTCGGTGTATGTATGCAATGTAATGTTTCAGGTTTTTAAAACTTTAGGAATTGAAGCTGCAAGAGCAACAATAATGACAGAAATTAAATTAGTGATGGAAAATCATGGAATGAGTATCGATCGAAGACATCCGATGCTTGTAGCTGATTTGATGACAAGCAGGGGAGAAGTATTAGGTATTACGAGACAAGGCTTAGCGAAGATGAAGGAGTCTGTTTTGAATTTGGCTTCGGTGAGATATCCTGCATTTTTTTAACGCATTAACGCATACAAATGAATAAAATTACATCAATTTGTGCATCATTCGATGCCGTTTAATTTTGCCTTATGAAATTTTTTGGTGTCTCTAACTGTTTTAGAGATATAGCTTTTCTCAATTGCATGGAACAACCTGTATGACATTATTAGCAAACAGCAGTATTAATAAGTAATTATTTAACAGTTTGAGAAAACAGCCGATCATCTATTTGACGCAGCCTATTACGGGCAGAAAGATGTTATCTGCGGTGTATCTGAATCAATTATAATGGGTATTCCAGTTCCAGTAGGGACAGGAATCTTCAAGTTGCTTCACAAATATCCTTTTTAAACTTGCTTTTTCAAATTTAATAACATTAAATTTTTTCAATTTAGGTATAATAAAAACTTGTTAATACGTTATTTTCCTTATTAATAAAATACAGCTGACAAGGATGAACCACAAAAACGGAACTTGATATTCGATGACCCGCAATTCCATAAGAAAATTACAAAAACCGCAGCATAAATGTAAATTAATTGTTACCTACTTTATAATAAAATATTTAATGTACATAAAAAGAAAGATGTATTCTAATGAAACTAACAATTTTTATACTTCATAGTTTCTGTCCGCTTAAAAATTATTTATCTTTTTAAGCCAAAAATATACTTTTAAAAGTACAAGTGCGATACTGTGATTTATTAAATGAACCATCTTTAGTTGCTAAGAAACAATGTGTTTGATCCATATTTGTCACATATTATATTTCTGTAACTCTGCAATGTCATATTGGTATCGTATCGATGATGTTAACTGAAGTAACGTGTTTTTAACGCGAATATTAATATACTTTTATATATTTTGCAATAACGAATTACTTAAAATTTTTCTTTCAATTAGATAGTAATTATAGAACTTCGGAATGGTAAATGAAACAGAATTTTGGAGTGAAATTCGAAAAGGTATACCACAGTATAGAAAAAGAAAACCAAGGGTTGTTCCAGCTTTTACAATTCAAGCTTTGCAGGTAAAGCTTTAGTATTATATGATTGTACGTAATAATTTTACATTATTTATTGACAATTTATTTAGGAAAATACTATAGTTGCAAAACCTCCTCGGTACGAACTGTACAAACATCAACCACCTAAACCATCAACTTTTCGAAAATTCTATGAACAGGGCGTATTTCCGATATCATTGGAAAATGATATTTATGGCACGAAACTCAGTTGGAAAGTTGAGATCGAAGACTTAGATTTTCATCATTATTTACCATTGTTTTTTGATGGATTGACAGAAACGGAGCAACCTTATAAATTTCTAGTAGAACAAGGAATATCCGATATGTTAGAACATGGTGGTCCAAAAATTTTACCCGTTGTACCACAATTAATAATTCCTATTAAAAGTAATTTCCTTTTTTTCCTTAGTCAATTTCTTAGATATAAATATACATGTCACTATATGATAAAACGCGTTTATTATAGAGGCTCTAAATACAAAAATGTCGGAAATCATTTGTGCTACATTGAAAGCCGTCCAAAAACTCGTACGTTCAGCGGATTGTGTTGGGGAAGCTTTAGTGCCATATTTTAGACAAATTTTACCAGTTCTTAATTTATTGAAAGATAAAAACGGTAAGATTTTTATTTACATTAATAATTCTATATTAAAATAAATTTGGATTCAATATTGCAGTCAATCTTGGAGAAGGAATCGACTACTCGCAACAAAGAGGAGAGAACGCTGCAGATATAATACAAGAGACCCTTGAAATGCTTGAAATTTATGGCGGTGAAGATGCTTTTATAAATATCAAGTATATGATTCCCACGTATGAATCTTGCATGATGAATTAAGAGTCTATTATTGTATACTTAATATCTGGTAATAACCACAAATTATAAAATTGTAGAGTAATAAAAAAACAACTGATTTAAATACAATTAATATTTATAAATATTATACGAAATATTACAAAATATGTAAAACAGTATTGAACCCAATTATTTACACATTTCATTACATTTTTAGTAAATTAACATTACTCACGCTTTCCCTGAATCTTCTTTTAATGTCACAGTTCTATTAAAGACAAGCTGTAACAAAGGAAACAAATTATTAAAGACACAACTATATAAATTTGACTGTTTGTAATTACCTTCCCTGGTGTGGTATCAGGATCTACAGAGAAAAATCCAATGCGTTCAAACTGGAACTTATCAAAAGGTTTCACCAAATTTGCCAAACTTGCGTCAATGTATCCAACAATATCATTTTTACTATTTGGGTTAATATCGCTTAAGAAACCATCTGGCACTTCGTTTGAATCTTCAGGATTTTTATGCTTAAATCTAAAAAATTACGTTACACATAAATGAAACATAATTACAATTAAAGTAAATTATCATATCAATAATAATGAATTATAAATGCTATTTAATATTTACAGCCGTTCGTATAATCTAACAGACGCCAATACGGGATTTGATACCCAATGTATAAAAGCTTTAGGTTTATTATTTTCGGAGATAGGTTCTTGTTGAACAATTATGTTTACGATATTACTGCTGCTGTCTCTTTCTATTTCTTTGATTGTTAAAACAACTCCTGCATGTTTTAAACCAACAGATTGATTTGGTGTTAAACGCCTAAAGTCTTTTTCTGCTTTCTGCAAGATATATAATAAATATTTCAAAAAAGATAGTATCAGCTAACATTTACTATATTGTATTATTTAGTGAAATATACCTGTCTAAAATCAGACGCTTCGATATAAATAACTTTATCAAAAATAATGTTGTGTTGCCCTTTGTCAGGTTCATTAGGAAAATTGGGAACAGTCAGTTTTATAGAATTTTCATGAGGAAAATTACTAATGGTTATTTTTAATGGATCCAGAACAGCCATGTGCCGACTTGCAGTAACATTTAAAACATCTCTGACACATGCTTCTAAAGCACCTGGATCAACAACTGCTTGAGCACCAGTTACGCCCATTTGTGCACAAAAATTATTTATAGCTTCAGGAGGAAAACCTCTTCTGCGAAGAGCTGTCAACGTAAATAATCTAACAAAAATTTTATACGCATGAAGCACACATCGGTTTACAATTTATTAACATTATTATATATAAGTTTTTACATATACATCCCATCTATAAGTACTGATATAAATTTTGAATGAATAAAACCAGTTAAATGATTAAATAAATTATTAAACCTAGGCAGATATTGATGACAATATAATATAAGAAAAGTATTGCAAAATATATTACTTTTATCAAAGATCAAACTTTCTTTTAAATACCAAATGTCCGAATATACTTATGGACGAGGCTGTATATGCATATATAAAATTAAAATGTACCTTGGATCATCCCAATCAGATACAAAACCCTCTTCAATCAGTTTGCCGATTTTTCTTTTCGAAACAACCGTGTAACTCACGTTTAATCTACCATACTCCCATTGCACAGGACAATAAATATCTAAAGAGTTACAAAGCCAATAATACGATGATCTTCGCGACTGAAATTCTTTCGTGCACAGAGAATGCGTTATGTTTTCTATACTATCGCACAAACAGTGAGTAAAATCATAAGTGGGGTAAATACACCATTGATCCCCTGTTCTGTGATGCGGAGTGTATTTTATTCTATATGCAACAGGATCTTGCTTTCCCTCTTCCAATGTTAATTTCATACGTAATGTAACTTCGCCTTCTTCAAGTAATCCATCTTTCATATCCTATATCAACAATAAAATAATCATAATTAAAATAATAATTACTGTATCTATGACACCATTAATAGTTACATTAGAATTATAAAAATGTTTTGAATACTAATTTATTTCATAAAATTTATTCCGAGTACATAGACACTAGATTTACGGAACCCGTACATATGACAGATTTCAGATTCCATATTTAAAGTTACAGAACTCATAAATACTATTTGTTAGCAATTTATATTGAATTTAATTCATGCAATGATATGAAGTAACCGTTAATATGACGAATTTTAATAAATATATGTACAATCAATGCTCGTGAATCTAATGTTAAACACTGTAAAAAATGATCATTTATTTAAATTATAATTACTTGAAATAATTGTAAACTCTCCGAAATAGGCCTATCACGCCAAGGGCTCGGAGGTGGATTGAAACCTTTTATTTCTTCGCTAGATTGATGGCACACATATGCCAAACCTTTTTCTATAAGCTTGATAGCCAATTCGTATAACTGTTGAAAGTAGTCGGAGGAATGAGTAATCTTATGTGGTTTATAACCAAGCCATTCAACCATTTCACGTATACCAACAAAAAATTTCTCTTCTTCTTTCTCAGGATTTGTATCATCATAACGTAAATAACATACACCGTCATGAGTTGCAGCATATCTGTAATGAAACCATTGTTTATAACATAATTTGACAGAATGAATAAAATTAAAGAAGAACATACTCTAAAATAGAAAATATACCCGAAATTAATATTAATCGCTTTTGCGTGACCAATATGCAAAATTCCATTAGGCTCTGGTGGAAACCTAGTTCTTACTTTACCACCCGTTATCCGCAAATGTTCTTGTAATAATTTATCTGTATTTGGTGTTACAATGTATCCTTCAGTTTTATAATTCTCTCCCGGTTTATGAAAATGAACTTTAGTCTTCATTAATTCACTTATCGTTTGAGCACCTACTTTCTCATTTGTTACTGCTGCATTTTTCTGTTCAACTAAATGATAAAATATTAAATGATTTTGTTTTTTAGAAGTTTAGAAATGTATTAATTTAATTCATTTAATTCTTTACAAACCGATATCAGGATATACATAAAGAATACCAAATCAACATGACTCAATTTCCATAATACATGTATACAAGTTTATTAGATTAAAATAAAATTTATATGCCTAGTAAAATAATTTGTAAATACTCTATAATTTTCTGTAATTTGCTCTAAAATTATTTTGTTTTTTTCAATGTACATACTCCAAACTGTCCATTCACAAAGAATCAAATTAACGAACATTTTCAATTTACCATTCTCACTCTCTGGTTTCTTTGTTTTTGTTTGTTTTACTGTTTTAGGTGGCGGTGCAAGATCAGAACCAACCTTGGGTCCTAATAATACTAGCATTTGAACATTGAATTCATTCTTTATTGCTTTTCCATCTGCCCACTTTAAATTGTTACGTACTTGCTGCATCAATGGACCAACGTTAAAATGATATCTGCAGAACCATATTTTATCTTAATATGTACAATGTTCACAACAGCGCTATTAAAGAATATTTAACGATAAAAAATTAAACGAAACGTCTGTACCTTTTTTCCAATATCTCTGTTTTATGCTCGTTTATAATTTTTTCTACCTCGCATTCAATTTCTTCTGGTAAAACAACAATACCTATACCGCATTCCTTTTCAAAATTTGATATGTCAATAGTTTCTTTTATATGATGAAGTAAGAAATTCAGTCCAGTATCTACTCTTTGCGTTGTATCCAATTTCTTTTCAGCTATGTATTTAGTAATAAATGGCAATTTGTCTGCAATTTGATTCTTAATTTTTGAAGCAAGATGATATAATAAAATTCCAACTTCCGGTGTAATAATTTCATATTTATTAGCCTGCAAATAGGAATACATATGGTACGATTGGACGTCACAAAACAATGCAACACTTAATTATAAAAATAGCACATTTTCTAAATCGACCAAAAAATCTACCAGTAGTAAATTTAATTCATTAAAAAAATTACGTTGACGAAAAATAAGAAAACGGATATTATTTAAAACGCATGTATGTTAGATATTTAAATAATTTGCTAACCTCTGTTATTGCAAGTTTCAAATTATTGGAAATTTGTTTATTTTTTAATGTTTCTTTAGTTTTCTGTTCACTTAAACCAATTGATTGAAATAATTTTATATCGTCCTCTGCTTCCATCGTTATAATCTTTTTCGTTTTTCAACACGTAATTACGATCCGGCTTTAATATTGAAACTGACTTTCGTTCGTACGTGTACATTTCATGCCACATGAATTGGTATTAATCATACGTAGTAACTTGATAAACATACGGGTTATGTGGCAATTAAAAAAGAAGGGATGCGCTCTTTATTACAAAGAATTTGTTTCTACTTTCTAGGTTTTGAAATTTTTATTGTTTATTGTTGTTAATTTCCATATATCAAATTATAATCTTTTTCTTATTTTCTTAACAAAAAAGTAAATTTACACAATTGTCAACAAAATCTATAATTTTATAGTAATTTTTTGATGATATAAATATTAAAATGCATTTTTCACATAGCAAAGAATTTATTTTATTTTCAAATTGAATCTGTTTTAAAATAATGATGGATCTTATTTTTGACGAATATATTGTATTGCATTTTTATTTTTAATTGATTATCTCAAAATTGAGTTTCATTTACTTTGACAAACGTAAAATTCGTTTAGAAATAGTGATTAACAAAGTTACATGTAATGTGTGTAATGCGATAGATTTACTTAGTCATACTATTAAAATTGTAAAAAATGAGCGACAGCGACGACAATGATCTAGAATTATGTCCCACGACACTTGCCGCCTTAAACGAGTTTCTTAAAGAGAAGGAAGAAAAAGAAAATCAATTCAAATCCATCTTAGGATACCAATCTACAGATGTTTCATTTGATGAAAATTGGGTAAGTCAACCTTTCTAAATAGAAGGATAATATTTTACAATTTATATTATTATTATTATGTTATATAAAATATTTTTTAAATAACACTGTATTTTTTCTTGCATTTGCATCTATTTATGCATTTTGTTATATAGTATTACATATATTAATTTTGGTTATAGCAATTAAGTCAGTTTTGGTATAATGACGAGACGACAGATAATCTTGCAAAAGGTACAATAAATTCTACAGAAACTAATGGAAAGATTGCTCTGATTTCTTGTCCTACACTTTACAGCAAACTGAAAAAGAAATGTAGCGATCGTCAAGGTATAAATGTACAGTTATTTTCACATGTGTTTGTACACTATGCAAATGTTTAATATAAATGAAAAATCAGCCCCACATCATAATGTAAAGATTTTGTTTACCGAGACTTGTATTTGGCTTATGTCATACAATTGTTTTCCATTCAACTGGAAAACACTAAATTTACTTTTGTCGAGTGAGAGTAATTGTATAGTATTTGTAATGCTATGATAATATGTCAGTGACTTCTAATCATTTTGGAAGCTCTCACTCTACTCTGCTTCCCTTAGTTACAGAAATTCAAATAAAATATCTGTATAATTTTCTCAAACTATAATGTAGGAATAAAGTATTTGTTAAATGAGACAACTGATAAATTTATCCTCTTTTAAGATATCGACATGTGCATATATATATTTATATTTAGTTTTTAAATTCAAATACTATGCATAGAAGTAACCGCTCAAGTGTGAATATATATTCAAAATTATGGATACATATTTCGTAATGATATAACACGACATATCATCACGAGTAATAAATGTCATGGGTTAATATTAGTCAGAATTTTAGTTTGCTTTATGCAAAATAATTCATGTCTGAAAAAGTTAAAATGATACGAAAAAATATATACCTACAGCTGTATAAACTTCGATGATTAATGTATTGTCAACATAAATAAATTTTTAAGTTATTTATATCTTTCTACGTTACAAATTTTCAATCATTCTTCTTTGGATTGCTAGGCGTCTTCTAATTTGGGAAATACCAATTTACTTAATATTACAAGTATTATTTCTAATAGTTTTTATTCATTTTTTTATTAACAGTTACGCTATTCGAGTACGATGAACGTTTTAAAGTGTTTGGTTCTGATTTCATTCCATATAACTATAAATTTCCGTTGGATGTGCCGAGAGATATGTCAGGTTCTTATGATTTGGTCATAGCTGATCCACCATTCCTTTCTGATGAATGTTTAACAAAAACTGCTCTTACAATAAAATTTTTGGCCAAAAGAAATATTGTTCTCTGTACAGGTATGTTTGATAAATGCAATTTTTCGTTTGCCTATTATTTGAAATCATTCTATACGTTCATTTTATAGGTGCAGTGATGGCAGAATTGGCAGCAAGATTATTGGATGTTACAATTTGTAATTTTATACCCCGCCATCGAAATAACCTTGCAAACGAATTTTACTGTTACTCGAACTTCGATTTTGATAAAATGTTAAAATAAATAAAGTATATATATCAAAATATGTCTGTGAAATTTAAGCAATTTAAATAATACATTCAACAGATTTAACGAAGTACATAATACGAAATTTAAATATTTGAAATGATCGTTAAGTTCAAACGATTATGCTATTTCCGGTTCTTAAATACTTAACATGGAAATTGGTGTATTTGTATGGAGATGCAAATTCATATTAAACAACGTTTTTCACAACTAAGTAAATAAGTATAAAGGAAATTCAAAATACTCTTTCCTCGTGTTTAATTTGTTATAATTAAAAGCTGCAGTATGTTGGTAATACTGACACATTTGTAAGATATTCAAGCAAAGTAATAAAGTATTAAATTTGGTGATTTACTTTACGTTTTGTGCTGCACAGTATCTATTGTGTAATAAGCTCTATTTTAGTTTTATCTATACTTTCGTATTAATTACACTGTTAAAGGAAGAATAAGAGAATACTTACATAGAAAAAAGTATATACTTTTCGAAATCATTAAATTTAAACTCCCTAGACAGGGAAAAATAATCTCTAGGTAAACATCTGTGAAAAGAAGACACGCGATGGAAAGCGTAAATATTTACATTTCTTGAGTGTTTGCGGGAGTAATTTTTATTTATAATCATGATAGACGGAAATATTTCCATGGAGGAGGACACAGAATTACGAGATTTGGTGGTGCAAACCCTTGAGAATAATGGTGTTCTTGCAAAAGTGCGGGTATGCTAAAACGTTGTTATAAAAATCACGCCTTTTTCTTTAGGTTATGTAGATTGTGTCAAAGAACTTTCTTCCGTCGAATTTTTTTCATACTATCGTGATACTTCTATTAAAATTTTTTGTTATGTTATAGGCAGAACTCAGGGCAAGTGTGTTTTTAGCATTAGAAGAACAAGAATCAGTAATGGTATGTCAACATTTTTTTATAATAGGTAGTCGTTAAAAAAATCTTGTTTAAATTTTTTTTCATATATATCTTTTTGATAAAAATATTTATTGTATGTTTATTTGTAGAAATAAATGTTCAGGTCATTAAATTGGTGATAATACGTAACGAATAATGTAAAAAGAAAATGTTTATCTTTTTACAACTTTTATTCGTTGCGTTTAAATTGTTAATAGCGATTAATAAATATGTCCATGAATTACAGGCATTGAAACTTTGAAAGTAAATAATACATTTGATATTTCAGAATCCAGAACCACTCCTCAATAAAACTGTAAAGCAGTACCTGGCTAATTCAGAAGGAAAATTATTGTTTTCCTTGGTTAGGGAGTTCCTAGAATATTTTGGTCTTGATTATACGATATCTGTATATGATCCAGAGACATACTTTGGAAAAGAATATAATTATGTTGGAAGAAATAAATTATGTGAAGAATTAGGTATTGAATCCAATGAACCGTTACTTGGAGAAATTTTAAAAAATAGCATGAACAGTGCCTTTAATAATTTACAGAAGGTATCTACATTGAAAATAATATAAACTTTTATTATTTTAAAAATAGTAAAATATAAACATTTTAACTTGTATTGCAGAATGAAACTAATAATAGCAGGCTTAATACAACTGATGAAACTTCAACAAACATTGCTAATGCAACATTTGAAATTTCCATTCCAAAAGTATTACACAATGAAACTGTGTCATTGTCAAATAATAATGATATTTCGGATAAATTGGATAGTGCTTTGCAACAAAGTCCAAAACTTCCAATAAATGTGACAATAAAGGATAAGAAAAGTAAAGAAACATCTCTCGATGATGTTTCAATGGACGATTCAAATTATGAAAAACAAAATAATTCTCTCAGAAAGAGTACCACTTCTGAAAGCACAGAAAATAATGATGGAATTGATAGCAAAGGGAACAATAATATGCATTTTGATACACTCTCTACAAGTCCAAATGGCACAACTACAGTGATGAATCATATAACAAAGGAGACTGAAATAAATATGCCCATCCAAACAAATTTACTAAATAAAACCGAGCCTTTAATTAAGTTTGACGAATCTATAGTTACTGAAATGCAAACAAATCAAAATGAAGATATAAGTAAGCAAAATAATATAAATAGTTTCAAATTACAAATAGCGAATAACGTACAAAATAAAAAGTCAGTTAATATTGGAAACAGTTTTGGAAAAACTGTATACTTTGAAGAAATTATTGTTGATGGAAAAAAAGAAAATATTAATGCTATACATGATACTGAATCCTTTTTACAAGATTTACCATCTTTAGATAAAAAATCTCATTCTATACTTAGCGATCTCCCACCATTAAATGGTAAAAAGACTAATATTAATGATCTGAAAGAATTGATGGATATCGGACTTGGTAAGTTAACATAACATTCTTATGAATATGAGTATTGATTGTTTGGTTTCCTGTGCATGTATATATATATCTGTTATAATACATATATCATCAATATATTTTTAGGAACTGACGGTATTGATAATTATGAAGAAGATTTCATTTCATCTGCATCTGGCAGTGCTTATGATCAAAGTCCTTCTAAAGAACCTGAAAAAACTGACAGTCCTATAAAACTTAAAATAAAGAAACAAGATAAAACTCTGAGTGCTCATAGTGATGATATCAGTGAAGAAATTGAAGAAATTGATGACATATTAAGCAGCACTTCATGTGTAAGTAAATGTAGCATGGATTAAAGGATTTACTGTTTAATATATTACAATAAGTAACGTATATGTTTTTTATATATTTTGAATATTGCATGTATAATTCTTTTTTAGCTTGAGGACATAAATATGGATAAAAATATATCAAATTTTGCAACGGGTATTACAGCTAATTGTGCAAAAGAACTATAATCGTAAATCACATCACTACAGATCTTACCTTCTGCAAGAATCTTAAGATGTTACTTTTTTTTTTTATAGCATTGACATTTGATATCCTGTGGTAGGGTATAAAGCATGTTTATGCGAATTACTATGGATTCACAAACTTGCAAAGTTATTTTGGTTTCTGACGTGGCACTGCCATTTATGGCTCAATACAAGTTTTTCTTCAAAAAACGTAGAAGGGAAATGTCTGAATTTATATCCGTACATGTTATTCACTACTTTACATAAATTCAACAGAAACATATTTTTGTATAAATCATAAAGTTTATCATAGCAGTATTTAAAAATCACAGCCTTTGAATGAACATTCTGGATTTAGTATTATATTAGTTGTCGTATAAAGGACTAAAGTGTTTTGACTGCTTACAAAAAAAGATATAGAGATGTTATTAATATAGACTAAATTTTGAAAAACAAACTGAACTGCCATTGTCTGTTACTATTATTGCAATAAGGTGTAATATTATATCTTTTGCGGATCTAAGTATTAAAAATAGAAATCATCTGAAGGTTCCAAGAAAAAGCTTATATGAAGCTTTATAAACATATTTATAATTCTGTAACTTAGTAACGAGTAATTGCAATTAAAATATTGCATCATTGCCAGAAACGGGAGAATAATATTTAATTAAATTAAATATATAAATAATCAAAGTACGTGAACGTGTTTTTGTTTTAAAAATTGTGATACATTGTTAATTGAATTAGAATTATAATACTAAGACTTTTGATTGCAAGGATTTTCAGACAAACTGCCTTCTACGTTGTTCTGTAAATATGTCTAGTATTATTACTCTTAAAGCCAATTATCTCAACGTTAAAATACCTTAAGAAGTGGAAAGTAATCAGTTACATTAATGGTTGTTAGATACTTAGTTATATTTCTCTAAAAAGTTTTGTAATAGTTTTGTTGTGTTTATCAGAATGATTCCTGTGTCTAATTTTATGACTAAATGTCATTAATTACCTCATTTAACTAAAGTTACTGGTATAGTATCGATAGCAATATTGATAAATCATCCGTCTAAAAATGGATTGCCTAAAAAAAATATATCAAATTATTTTTTTTCAAAGATAATGGTGCTAAATGCGTGAAACTAAAGTTATTTATAAAAGTTGAAGTTGTTTAATGAAAAATTAGGTGCTTATGTGTTTTCTTGCATCCGTGATTCGTAATATCTTAATGACTAATAAAAGTTTTAGACTAAGTAATTACATTTTTGGGCAATCCAATACCTTGATAAACATATTGGTATAGATATACTATGCCCCAAATAAGATGCAATAACTAAGTACAATTCATGGTGGATCAACAGGATGCTTGACAAATCAAAATCTGTCTGTAAAAAAAGAAAATGTACAGCCTGCTTCCTTCACAAAAATTTTCAGTAGCACATAAATACTGTAATGTTATCAATAGCAAATATTATAACTGATTCAAACAAAGAGATTTCATAATCAAATTAACGTGTCTGCACAAGATTAACTCTAATTATAAAATTACTATAATTATAACTCTAAAATATTTTGTGCACTAGGTAATTAAAATGTTGCAACTGTTGACTGCACTTTTACTATAACAGTGTTATTTATAGTACAAGAGGATTATATTTATTTAGTATCATTGGATAATTTTTTGTCATTTCGCATTCTCTTAATGTTTCTAAAATTCATTTATGCATTCAATGTTTACACTCTGAACAGAATACCTAATTTAGTTGTGATAATACGATTAAATTCTGAGGTTTCAAATCATTGAAGAAAATTTAGATCATGCGAAAGAAAAAAAAATATGCACTTACACATAAAATAATATTGGTTTCCATGAAAATTTAGAAAGAAAGAATATGTTTTGCAGTATATACTTTTCCTTTAAAATCATTTAAATTATCGATGAAATATTTTCCTGGTATTGTTGCAACTAAATGAGACAATTGAGGTAGTTTTTAGTAGAACAACCTGAGTGCTACCGATAGAACAGTCGAAACATAAAATTATAATATTTTATTTTTGCAATATTAAGAATACACGCATAATAATGAAATCACTTGGCTTGAATCAACTTTTATCACTATGTATATATATTAAAGCAGGTGTGTTCCTGACCAATCAACGTGGTTACATTTTAAAATCAATATAACATATAATTTTATAAAATCAATTTCAGGACAACACTGAACATTCCTACACTCTATAGAATGTAAAACATAGATACATTCCATTGTTATTAAGATTATTGCACTTTTGTTGTATTGTTAGTATTAGTAAACAAATTTACACAATAAGTATTTTTCACCATAGCATATAAGAGAGAGTAATTTAAGAAATGTTTCACAACTACCACAATATATCAAGATTTTATTTTACATTCTCACAAAACTAGAAAGTGTTTCTGTAAACATTTTTATTGCAGGGTACACAAACATTTTTATATTTACATGGTTTTAATTAATCATAAGCCGATTAATATACAGTTACATACTCTTCATGTATTTCAATACATGTAAAAGTCTTGTTATATATTTTTGTTTTTTTTTTAAATTTGTAAAATGTACATATACAGTACACGTATGTAATCTTTCACTTCATATGAAAAAAGAAAAAAACATATAAGTGAATGCAGTACAAAAAAAAAACTTCGAAATATATTTTTTCAGATAAAAAATTATTAATAAATTTCTTTTTGATATATATACATGTATGTATCTTTGAAGCAGTTTTTGATAGTAAAAGAATATCATGAATAACTAATGACATCGATTTGTTATGTTACAAAAATATCTGTATTAATTTGTATATATGACGGTATTTAATGCACTATATGCAAATTAATCATAAATTTTTCAAACACTGGTACGAAATAATTGTAATTATTGTTATTTGCTAATTTATAATACCAAATTAAACAGAAGAAGTATTAATAAACTACTCACAATATTTTTTCATACAGTCCTAGAGAATTACTTTTGTAACCACGTTGAAGTATTGGTAGCTATATTGTGCCTTTTAGTGTGTATGAATAATAAACAATGCAAATACATACTATGGAATTGTGGGATTTACAAAACACCTAAGTTACTTATTTATGATTTTGAAGTACGATGTAATGATATTCATGTATATGTTATTTATTTTATAAAGATTTTTCTCTTTTGCAAGTGTTGTGAATTTCTTCTACATACCTTATATCCTATCCTCGTTAAAAATTAATCTTATTAACAAAATTTTCATACTTTTAATGATTTACTGATTTCAGTATTCATATTACTGAAAAAGATCGAAATATGATACAGTCGAATAAATAAATTTAAATTACGTCTGTCTTATGATTTTTGAGATTGAGACTTATCATAATAACAAACAATACATACTATTAATTAAGTATATTTGTATAAAACGTGAAACAAATTAAATTAAATAATATTTACTAATGACTATATACTAAATTAAATACTAAATAATATTTTTTGTGTAATATTTATATTAATAATAAAATTGAACGAAGGATGTTTTGTCTGTAATGGTATTAATTGAAAATTGCTCAAGATGGAGTCATATTTTACAAGTACTTTTCAAAAAGATATAAACATGTTTTACTAAAAATTTTGAGATTACAATTAGATTCTGAATAATTAATAAGTATCCAAATAAACGTGTAGAATTTAACGAATTCCTCACTCGATTTTACATAATTATTCATTCGTCATATCTCAAAAATGGTTTACATTACCCAAATAAAAATATTTTTGTAGAAATCTATTTTTTAAGTTCACGAAAATCAATATTTTGATATTTTAATGTGACGTGACAATATAAGCTGGAAAATTTTATACAAGTCGTAAAAACTGATTTCAATGAATTTTTGATAAAAATCTTGGTTTTACCAGTGATGAGGTCTGCTATTAATAGTACTTGTATAATGAATATTGTTCTGCAACTGATTAAATATAAATTATAATCAATGTTCAATTAATGTGTTTAACTATGAAATTTGTAGGTAGAATATAACAAGATCTTTTAATTTTTTAACACATATGTAAAATACCAAATTTAAAGAACATGCAGTTTATTGTACAATTACATTAATATTCTATCAACGCACATGGCAGTGTCGCTTGTCTTTAAGTATTAAAATTAAAAGTAACATATCAGTAATTTGCAAATTTTACATATGTAAATATCTATATCATTATAGAAATTAATTAAGATTGACATCCTTATATACAAAACTATTTATTACTTATAATCAAGATAACTTTGGAAGAGATTATTTTATACCAATCTTGTATGAAATGTATACTGTAATTACAATCATATCTTCATATTAATATCCTCGGATGGAAAATAGTTGAAATGCTACTTTCGTTGTTCAGTAAACTACAAGATATACAACAAAAAAACAATTTATTCAAAAATTTGTACTTTTACATTCTGTTACGCTCTTTTTGTAATCGATCGCTATATGCTTTTGATACAAGATTAAAAGCATCCATATATCGGTCCATACACATTGCTATGCATTTCTGTAAGTAAAACAAAGTAATTTATGCTATAATTCCATATTTATAATAATAAAAATGTTCGTAGCATTAAAATGTTATTAATTTGAATATACAGGATACCTCAAAAGTCTGTTCTTTAATTTTAAAACATTAAATGAAGTCTTGTAACAATAATGACAAAACACTGTTGTGTATATTATGTTTAATTTATTTCTATTCATGTTTATATACAAATAACTTTTTGCAAACATTCATAATGATGCAACCTTACTTATGTATAATGTAAAACTAATATATGTAAAAATAAATTCACAAACTCCTTAAAAACCGTACTTAAGTATGATTCTTTATGGAATATTCTTCATATTCTTAGTATGCTTAATTAATAATCTTCCAATGAACGGAATACACGTTGTACGAATGTCAATGAAAGTGGCACAATGTTTCGCTTAAAGTAGAACTTAAATTAGAAAATGTATTACGAGCTAGACTTTCAAGGCACCTTAAACACGAAAGAAGAATACTTTCGATATATAAACCTGTTAATTTGTTACCTAATGCTTTTTTTATGAACCATTTAAGTATTCGTAAGATTATATTTTACGAATAAGAGAGGTTACCTGTTCTGAAGTATCTAATGCAGTACCCGGCTTGCTTATACACTTTTTAAAGCATTTTTCTGTCATTTTCTGAAAATATGAGATTAAACCTGTGCCGTTCATTCATCATAAATTTGCAAAAGTAAAAAGTATATGTACTTGTGTAATCGTACCGTAAGCAATTCTTGTGCATTTGCAACGGCAATTTGTTGTTTAATTTGTTCCATAAGCTCGTCCCTAGTTAAAGAACCAGACGAAAGCGAATCCATATTTACAGGTGGTTGATAAAGCTTTTTTATATGGTAATATTAAAATCAAAATCACTTTATACTACTAGTGCTTCTGAACCACCATGTCTTCCCGGTTAGTTAAGTACACCGGAAGCACGTGAAGTTAAACCTTCAATATGCGTTTACAATTATTTGCTATTTACATTTAGAAGTTATATAATGATTATCAAGGGATATTCTTAATTACCAGTTGCATGCATTGATAACGTTAGTAAAGAAATATATTTAAATTTCTATACAATACTTTAATTATTAACTTCATATTACTCTTTTTCGTATTTCCTTGTATACTCTTACGATATTCTGTTGTTTTCTTAACGTTAAGATCAATTTTGTTTTAAATGTTGTTTCTATTTAGTTATATATGTATATTATATTTAACTATGTGACCGTAACAGGTTTTATAAATTACAAATTTTAACTAAAATTCAATATTTGCATCAATTACACTCGTAATTAGATCTAACGATATTGTAAGGCAAGATTTTCCATGCTTTTCTATTGTAAAATTAATTGAATAGAGTAGCAATATTCGTACGAACTATTTAAAATATACATTGATATATACAATATATGTATTGTATCGTAATTTAATTACCATTATTTTCTAGATGAACAATAATACTATTGAAATTGAACAAATAAAAATTCATGTCGAAAATCGAAATATAATTCTAGATGAATTGCAACAAATATACATGAAAAATTCGTCCCATCTGACATCCGATATAGGTTGTGTAAGAATAATTAAAACACTTATGTTTAATAAAATAAAAAATTGTATGTTAATAGATATATAATCGTAATTTTTATTTTTATATATTAATATAGATAGTTATATGTATAATGCGCCGGAAACAATAGAAAAATCAGATTCCCCTGTTGTGGAAGATCTTTTAATGGAAATGAATACAACAAAATTAAGGAAATTCGATGAAAATAATATTGACTGTTATCGTTGCAAGCATTTTTTGAATATACCACAAAATCTTATAGAGGCTTGTGAAAAAATCTCAGACTATACAGAAGACTATGAGGCTGATATAGCTTTTATACAGGCTGTGGTTTGGCTAAAATCAATGACAATGTCCATGAAAGATATTTCCATTGAACAATTTCATTTGGTATTTCATAAACAATGGAATACTAATCGAAAGAGAAGTAATACTACATGTCAACATTTAGTATTTTTCTTTAAAGAGTTGTTTTTATATTTGTTTAAAGCTCCATTCATACATTGATGAACCAAGCATAGGCTGACTGCACTGTCGTTTGAAAGATATGAAACAATATACGTATGCGACAATGCACTCAGTGAAATTTTCATAGTTGTATGCATTATTTCTTCATAATATCAAATGGTATGTAGAAGATGGATATGTTCTAATTATAAACCTAATACTAGATTAATAATAAAGACAATTGAATAATGATAAAATGTACATGCATCTTTATATGAATAATTATTGAAAAACATGAATTTTTAAACATAAATTAAAGAATGTTTCTATAATTCCATTTAATATATTGCTTTATTTATATTTTAAAAACAAAGTGTCTACAGGACAATAGTATGTACTACCATCATTTTTTCTAATAACTTCAAAATTTCTGTTATTTATAATGTTAATTAAGTCCTGTAATGTTGGTATGTCTACTATTCCACGTTTGTCATACAATATCTTTAAGTTACATTACATTTTATTATGAGGTAACATATTTTTATGTATTACCATATATTGTTGTATTATGTATTTTTACTCTTTCCTCCATGTCATTTTTAGCGAATACAAGTTTTGCTTGTTTGAACTATTTTTTCTTTCTCAGTTAATAATAAGTTAAGAATAAATCAACACAACCTAAAAATACTGGCTATTTTATGAAAATATAATTAATTCAATACGTATATATATTATGCACAATACTTATAAAGCCAAAAATAGAAGGAAACAAATCTGGAACTATGATAATTTCGTTCAAATTTTCAATGAAATGTCAAATATTACAGTAACAATTAGAACAAAATCCAATAACCAAAATTACTACATAGAAAACAAAGATTCATAGAAACTATTAAAAATAAAAGACTCGATGAACAACTATCAAAAAAAGGAAAAATTTTAATGGAAGTATGGAAATTTCGCTGAGTGTATTATCATTGCTTTTTGAATAAACTGCGTTAAGTTTTAACTATTAGGCTGGAGGCACACGAGCGTGGAAACGACGTGTGTTTTTATGTTTTTTCGTATCTTATAATTGAAAACAACCAAGGCAGACATATGAACGCCGGTGTTATCTATCATCGTTGTTTTCAATTGCAAGACGAGGAAGAACATAGAAATGCACGTCATTTCGACACTTCCAACGCTCATGTGACCCTAACCTTACGACAGTGAAGGCAGTCAACGGCCGACTGTTTATTGTCGGCCTCCGGTGTTCACTGTCGGAGGAAACTGCTCCTTCATTTACGTACAACCTGGTAAAAAAAACCAGTGCCTAAAAGAACTATTATAATCGGAAAAATTAGCAAACGTAGAAAAATCTTTCGTCCCGTATATGATGCACAGGGTTGCTATTATTAATTTTATCCGATATTTAAAGAAACTATTTTAAATTCGCAGCCATTAGCTCGGTGTTACCCATGAAGAAGTAACTTTTCATTGTGTGTGACAACGATTATACAGGGTGTTTGGGCACCCCTGGGAAAAATTTTAGTGGGAGATTCTGGAGGTCAAAATAAGACGAAAATCAAGAATGCCAATTTGTTGATTGAGACTACGTTAAAATGTTATTAACGTTTAAAGTTCCGTCTGTAGAACGGCAATCTGCGAACAGCTGCGCATGCGTGATAGTGGTCCTCACTCACAAAACTGTATGGCTGTCGATACGTCACTAAGTAGAGTTTCTCATGCTGAGTGAGAACCACTATCTCATGCATGTAGCTGTTCGCAGATTGCCGTTCTACAGGCAGAACTTTAAACGTTAATAACTTTTTAACGAAGCCTCAATCAACAAATTGGTATTTTTGATTTTCGCCTTATTTTGGCCTCTAGAATCTCCCATTAAAATTTTTCCCAGAGGTGGTCGAACACCCTGTATACCAGGTCTCACCACGTGGAGGTTGCTGCATAAGGAGACTCGAACGTCTCCTCTATGTTATCCTCTTCTAAAAAAAAGATTGTAATATTATGTTTTCTACAGGTAAGGATTTTGAGTGTTGCAATCGAGGTAGAATTTCTGAAGTTGAAGAACGTGATCGCGAATGTCTGCATTCGACAAATTCGCATAATGTAACTCCGAAAAGGGATATATTACTGGGCAGTTATTTAGAGTACGCGAACTCCATCAATTCAGTCTGCAATGTTAAGCAGAATAAAAAGTGTAGTTTATCGCAGCACCACCAACAAAGTAACGCGAAACAAAACGATGAGGATTTCATAAAGAGCTGGAGCGATCTATCCATCTTTGATTCTCGAACTAGGGAAAGATATTGTAAAAAGAGTTTTACTGAAAACAGTACCACTCTGAATAACTTCGTCATTTCAGAATCGGATACAGAATATTCATCCTGTTCGGATATATTCAAAGATTCTTTCGAAAACGAAGACATTAATAAGGTGGTACGAAATATAAATGATAAGTTGCTTGAGGGAAGCGATTTTGATATTAAAACATCGGTGGAAAAATTTTTGTTAACTTCTTGTGACAGTAATTTTTCACGGAAGTGTTATTTAAAATTGAAAAATGATGTTGCTGTTAGCTCGGGAGAAGATGATTCGTCAGACGAAAACTGTTCAAACTTAGCGTTAGAGTTAATTACTGAACGCACAAAAGTATTTAATTCTCATTTTAGTACGAAGAATCTTCCATTTTCTGTGAAACAGGATGATAATGTTACTTGCGCTCAGAAAGACAGCGCGTACGATACGTATCTATTGAGCGGAGACTGTTCCATTCTCCAAAATGAAGACGTTATTTTATCGGGTGAAAAAATTGACAATATTATCTCTTATCCAAGAGAAAATAACGGAACAGACGTGCAGGATTTGGAATTTTGTACTGCATACATGACCGAAAAAGATAGGATGTCTGATAAAAGTCAGCAGTCGTGCCTATCTTCGTTGAAATTATCCTTTCATCAGAAAGATGACGAAGGTGCAGATTTGATTAGTATAAAATCGTGCGAACGAGATGCGAAAAAGCATTCCGAAGGGTGTGAAAGTTCGACGGAGAATACGGGACTTACGGGATCATGTGCAAAGAAAAGAAAATTAGATTGTGCGAACGAAACGGACTGTACGCATAAGGAGAATATAAAAGTAGAGAAAATGGTCCCTTCTAAATGGCTGAAATTTACGCTCGATGCTCTGAGTACAGACAACGTTGCTTTTCAATCGGTTAAAGTAATACTCTCGATTCTTCAAGATGAAAGAATATCGAGGCAATATATGAGAAAAAGGTGTTGGAATGATACTTTAGAAGCTGAAGCTGTAAACACGATATTAAACTTTCGTGATGTTTACGAAGCTGAAAAGAAAAGCAACGCGTGCACGCATGAAATTTTGCAAACCGTAACTAATATACTGGAGAAAGGCATAGGAAACCCTGAATTGAATAAGGTAAATTGAAAAACAAAAAGTGTTGGGTAAAGGTATCTAATATGACCTGGCAAAAGTTAAATTGCTGTCGATTGAAATATAATTCATATTTTTGCATTTAATTTGCCTTAAAGTAAAAACAAAATTATTCGAGTTTCATATAGAATAGGTTGAAATCTACAGATTTTTAATTTTAACTTTTTATTTTTTAGATTACAATATTGACTCATGAAATATCTATCGCTTTAGAACTGTGCAATTCTACGAAAGTTTGTATTGAAACGATAAATTATTTAATTACGAAATTGAAATCTCAGGAAGGTATTTTAGTCTCTCTGATGAATGGCAAAAAAGCCGACGTATATGGCATCGTAAATCAATTACATATTATATTTTATGCGTTAACTTTATGTTTTCAAAAATATCGTTTATTCTTCTCTACTAAAGATGGCAATAAATTCGAAGACGAAACAATACCACCCGTTGTCGATTTATGGAAAAAACAATTGAAATCCAAGGATATGATAGTAGAGGACAGCGTGTATAAAAGGGAACGCCGATGGTTAATGATTCTGGATGATTTTACAGTAGTTGTTGCAGATAACTTTACTCAATTTGCAGAAAAGTCACGTCAATTAGTCAATATATTGACGTGCAAATAAGCAATGTTTTAATTAAAATATAACGTTATACACTAGTGCATTTACCATGTATGGAACTTCGTTTTATAGATCAAGATTGTATGTTATAAATAAATAATAATATATAATACATACTTTTTATTGTTGTAATATAACAGATTCGGTATATTGGAATAATTTAAATATACTGAGATTGCCTTTTCATTTACATTTTCCTATAATTGTACGAGTACGCAAATACTAATTTATATGCATTCGTACTAGAAATACTAAAATATTCAGATCTACATTGCTGAGAATTATTTGATTTGAAACAATTGTAAAAACAAACATATTCTTAATGAGATTATAAATTATCGTATTATATTAAGGAATTAAAAAAATTCTGTAAAATTAGTGTACTTATAATTATAAATTCTATAAATTATATATGTCAACTATTTAGTGGAGAAACAATATGATTATTAACGAAAAGCAAATAATAACGCTTGTCAATTTATGAGATTCAGATCGACTGTAAAGAGCGTTGTCTAATAATGGTACATCGTCAAGAAGGACAGTACGTTTCCAATTGCACAGTAATTCTGCATTTTCTGGCAGCACGTCGTAGAAGGAATTCAAGAATATTTGCAGCGGGCAAATTTCTGTGCAGTTGGGCAACGTCAAAGGTATAGTATCATCTTCAATACCCGTGTAGTAATTTATCTGAAATAATGACAGTAACATTCATCTAATGTGAAATGTAAAATTATGAAGAAAGATCTAAGAATTTGATAGGACTATAAGTATAAACTATAGTATAGTTTTTATACAAATTTGGTCACTCTTCTATGCGTTAAATTGTAATATTATGTTTGTAACAGAAATGTAATAGTTTTTTAAAATTAAATACAATTACCTTTATACCGTGGCTTAATGTTTCGTTATCATAATACATTTCGAAGATTACTGAAGCCGCCTCATTGGGAATATGCGGTGACCACAAATCGAGAGTCTTCAAAATGGCGACAATATTTCTGTCGTTACCACTGTATATTATGAGCTTCCGTTCTTTGGGTATGCCCCCATAAATATAATTTAACGAATTCGCTAAAATTTCCTTTAGAATTGTTCCTCCGTTCAGTTGTCTTTGCAGATGAGTTTGCGAAAGGAGATCGTACTCTAACAACGTCATATTGTACAATCCTCCATCGGGAAAAATTTCCTTGGCCCAATACGGTAGAGATTGATTCAGATCTGCCTGTGATAACGTTTGTTTGAAAATTTTGTGCTTCAAAACACAACACATATTCGGAAAAAGTATTAAATACAAAATTCTTTCAGTTTCAATTACGAAGATGACCACTAAAATAATAAATGTTTACGAAAATTTTCTGCAACATATTTATATGTTCAATTCGCTACTGTAGCATCGTGAACGTAAGGGAAATTAAAAGTTTTTAGAAGAGTGAACGAGTTACGTACACACTTGTTTTTAATTTGAAGTAAATTACAGTATTGTCCGAGAAGCTTACTTTTGTCTCGAGAGCCGCGTATAAAAGAGCTACTTCAGACGGTTTCCGTATTTCTATTCCAGAATTGTGAGACACATAATCGAATAAAGGCAAATGATGTAACATTGTCTCTTTCATTTGAATTGTATTCAAAACTCTGTTCATCTCAGAAACAAAGTTTGGGCAACGCATTCCCAGTAATAAAGTGTCTTTTTCAATGGATATGTAATCTACAAGAAATAATAGTGTAACGTAAGCAATTTTTGAATCGTCTGTTAATTTGTTGTATTTGTTTTCTGCGTGCTTACCCATGGGTATTGGTTGCCAATTTATATCATCGTCCCATTTTTGGGTTTCCGTCGGAGGCCAGAGGCCTGCATTCACTAATTGAGCAGACATCATTGATAATGGGTATTCCGCTGTATGCATTTTCATTGTTTTTACTGTATAAAGATCACCCAAAAATTGATTATATTCCTCGCGTAAATGGACTCCCAGATTGTACATGTTGAGTTTGCCAGTCTGTCGAATAAAATTATTCTGTTTTATTTTTTTTTGTTTACTCGATGATCTTCGTAATACACTATATGTACCGATAAAACATGTTTGTACTTATTTGTACACATTTGAAATATTTACACGCTTTTAACGTTTATAATGTTTTCAATGTCAAGTTTTGAATTCTTTACGTTTGTTTACTGATCAAGGAAATGTGCAGACTTACATTGGGCATGTTAAGAGGAGCGGAATTGAAGTATTCATAAGTTAATTCGCTTGGCAAACTTGTATCGTTGCTGTGTATTATATCCGAAATCGGTGCATATGTTTTATGCGCGAACATCTGTAAAAAATATATTCGATTTTCCCCTCATTAATACGTTTGGTCTTTCTATTCTATTACACTTCGAAAAATAAAATTATAAATTCTGTTCTCACGATGTGCAATAACTGCAGTTCTGGAATGCACTCGACTGATGTTATGATACATAATGCGATCACAATTATTGTTGATACACCTACGGTCATTTTCATTTTCAGACGGAGAACTTCTTACGGTCTTATTTTATAATTCGATAATTTCAACAGCCCTGAAACAATCGAATCGTTGTTAAAATCCCACTAACAACAGTTTCGCGTCAATTTTTTTGCACGTACGTATCTTCGACCAAATTGTACAAGATACATCAAATATCTTCATCGACTCTGATGAAAGATCTGAATCAGCTGTTAAATAATTTTAAAAATTTCTCCTTTTATAAATCTTTCACTTTTCGCGTTTTACCATACGCTTTATTTCTGTTGTTAAACAAATTACCAGGATACTTCACGACTACAAATATTCACTCGTGAATTCATAATTATTTTATCTATGATGCTTTTTATATCCGCAGTACTTTTTAACAGTTCCCTTGAATTGTAGGAATACAACACAATAATGAAGGCGACACCTGTTCTAACTTCCCAGGTGACTGCATAACACGGTATCTGCTTCTTCGTTTGATGATAGTAATCAGATAAAGTGTTTCTGATGTGTCTCCAGTGTTCGTACAACAGTGGTATTTAATTTAATCGGTAACCTTCGCGTAAAATCGTCGACTTTATCAAAAGTAACGATCTTCTGGGCTTTGTATAATTCATAGCAATCAGTTCGTTTCCAACATGGAGCTTCGCAATCGAAAGATTACGGATCTTATAAAATGTTTCCGAAGTCACCTTTTGTGAGGATTGTTTAGACTGACGATACTCTGTGAAACCATCATCGACTTGGGGGAAACAGCGCGTGCACAGTAAGAATGTCATCATAGTCATTCATTACTTTTCGAAAGTTACAATAATTCTCAGTGCTCAAACTTTTTTAATGCTGGACCAACTTAATAGTAAGTTAATAGTAACAAATTAATAATGACTAGAGTGAAGTGTTTAATTAGAGATAAGAATATTTTGAAATTGTAAAACTATCGAATGCTAAATTGCAAGAGAAGATGTAGTACCTATCTGATGCTCAAAATTAAATTATGCATGTCTTCTGAATTATATAATACATTATTTAACGAAATATTGAATTTCATCGATATAGAACCCGGGAAATAGATTCTTTAAAATAATATACGCAAAGATTTATTTTCTTTAACAAGGAAAAAAAACATGTAAAACAATATGTTCGATATGTTCAATAAAATATTTTATGAATCGTGCATTGTTTTTATTTTTAATTTATCGCGAATTTTATTTTTGAAGTTTTAAAGTGAGTAGATCGTGCATGATTGCTTTTTCAAACTCTTGAAATAATTTATTTAATCAATGATTATGAACATTTGTAAATGTATTATAGGAAATTGCAATTATTTTGCAGTACTAAACAAATACTTGAGGGAAAACAAAATTATGAAAAGATCGAACAAACATACGCAAAAAATATTTTAAAAATTTACACCGTTTACATATCAGTCATTTATCGCGAGTAAATAATTTACGAACTTTTAATCTGTATAAATTATCCCAGACATTTGTCAATTGTGTTTGCACAAAGCTATATGGTTTAACATCGCATGAAATTTGTTTTTATCTTAGTGTAGACAATTAGAATCGTTGCTCCTTTTTTTTTGTTCTCGGATTTACTGATAACAGAAACTGTTCAACTTATACTCAAATTATAGTATAAAAAAGAAAAGATATAAGAGTCATATTCGAGTTTTCAAAAAACATCCTTCAAAGAAGATTTCGTTAAGATTACGTTAAACTTTTATTTTACTCACGTTTCTCAAGAAATAATAATATCGATGTAAACATTATTAACAATTTTACGTGTCCCGTTTTGTATATTACAATACGAACAATATATGAAAACTATGACTTTCACAGAAAGAAAATTGACGTATTATTTGAAGAAAAGCGAAGAATCATTATCGTTGCTAGATTTAAAATAAGAGTACGATTCGATTAAAAGTATTGTTCTGAGAACAATAATTAATTAAATATGATATGACTTATCTTTTTTTTTAATAGATATACTTTCTATTATAAACTTTAGTAAAAATAAAACTTAAAGTTAAGACTTAAGATAATTGTTGGACAGTACGTTGCTAAGTGTAGTATACGAAGGGTAATAATTTCTGTAAATGTTATTAGAATAAATAAATTTATTCAATTTAATGATTTTGATGATGAAATTAATTAGAAATTTGAAAGAATAATTTTAATTTTTAAAATTAATAAAAATATAATTGAATATTTATAAAATCACCGGATAATTGAAAGCAACTTAATTAGTTATACGATTCATGAAATTCAATTGATAAAGATATCAGGACACCATACGAGTATTTGCGTAATTCGCTACATTCATTAATTCTTTGCGTTTGGTTTTTCAATGGTCATTATCGTGACTTTAAATAAGACGGGATGAAAGCTTCCAATAAAAATAAAACACAAATAAATTCTCATTAGGCATTATCTGTTTTCTCAATTTAATAAAGTAGTAAATGATATGTCGTGAATATCAATATAATTTATGGTTGCATTTTTACCAAGATTTAGATAACGTTGTGAAAAACTGTAATTTTAACAACCTAAACAAAACAACTTATATTGAGCGAAATTTCAACCAGAGACCGAATCGGTATTACGGATACCGGTATTTTTAGGCGATAAATGATAAAAAATGATGTTAGGTAGGTGTAGATGTATTTCGGTATAATACCGGTAAATAAAATATTAATATAAGGTGTGTTCGGTAACTGGTGGTACAAGCGAAAAGAGGGTGATTCTACATGAAAAAATAAGTCTAAAATATAAAATAATAATTTTTCGTGTGAGGCTTTGTTTTCGAGAAAATCGGCTTTGAATTTTCGCTGGGTACGCGTGCACTTGATCATGTTTTGTTATAACGGATCTCGCTGTAGATCATTGTCTCGATTGAAGTTCATGTTGATAAATACTTCCAGTGTTGTGGAGTTGTTTATTAACTTAAATTTAAACTTAAATTGCAATAATACCCATCGAGACAATCATCTATAGCGAGATCCGCTATAACGAGACATGATTAAGTGCACGCATACCCGGCGAAAATTCAAAGTCGATTTTCTCGAAAACAAAGTCTTACGTGATAAATTGTTATTCCATATTTTAGACTTATTTTTTCATGTAGAATCACCACCTTTTCGCTTATATCACCAGTTACTAAACACCCTGTATTAGAAAAGGAAAAGGAGACATTGATAAAATGTTATCATAAAGCTGCCGATAGTAAATTTGATGACGCTTACTTCTACAGGTACCCTTTGTTTATTTCTGTCAATCGTGGAACTTCTGCTCCAAATGATAGATATACATAGATACACTACGAATATAAGCAAACTACGACGGCTGTTCTGTACGTTGTAGCATTTGGTAACGAATACACAGTATTTAAATATAGGTAGTTTACAAATATTTCAAGTGTGAAACTTCGATTAATACATCTGTACGTATTATTAATGATTGTAAATGTTCTTGGACTATTCTTGTATTGTACATAAGAAATTACTAGAGTGCCGTTAGAAAAAGAATGACGTAAGAGGAAACCTGAAGAAGTTGTTAGTACTGGAAAGATAAAAAGTAAATTGGAAATATTAATAGACGTGTAAAACTTATTACTGGTCACAGACTATTTTTCATAATGGACGACAAAGCTTTTCAAAATATTGTTGTCTTGATTGCGCAGAATGCCAAAAGAATACACATTAATTTGCATTATGTTAAACAATCTGTTGCAGCATTTGGTGACGAATATACAGTAGGTTGGTCCTTATTTTTCGACTTTCTACTATACACACAGAGGAATTTTGTAAATAATACTCGTATTTATAATAACGTCGAACAACGCCATTCATAAATATTCAATTTTTGTAAAAAACTTATTCGTCGTCTTTAAAAGTGTCAATTTCAAAGTATACAGAGTCTACTATACAATTATTTTTCAGTCATTAAATCGCATGTATAAAACTGGTTCGAATAATATTCTCTGCAGATGATAGATTTTTTACGACGAATAGAAATTTTAACAGTAGAAGATTTGTTCCTTCTTTTTTAACAACAAAATTCAGATCCAGTGGTTCTTATTTTTCGACTTTCGATTACTTTTTGACGCAACCCCCCAATTTGTAACACTTTGTGAAAAAAAGTTCTGTATAAAATTTTAGCGAGATTAGACAACAGGAACATGTGCTGTATTTAAATTAGAGTTTTGAAATTTTTATGATCTCGCGTTAGAGTCGGATTTGTATTTGTATCATTTTATACCAAAGTTATAATACTATGGAATTAAAAATACCTAGTTCTTCCATTTAAAAATATAACAGTGACCTCAATTTTTGATCGAAAATCAATTTGTTTTTAAATTTAAACAACTAAATTTCTAGTCGGTTAAGTACTAATTAATCCTGTATATTACGGTAATTTACCGCTGTGGACGTCAAATACTGATAAAATACGTATGAAAATACCGGTATGACCGTCTTATGTCAGTATTAAAACCGATTTCCTAAATGCGATTATATTATTGTACGATGATACGAAAGCAAATACCGATATACCGTAATACCTAAACCTTAAAATATTTCGGTTTTCAGTGTCTGATTTCGACAATGTATTGACACAATTAGTGAAAAGGGACATCACTTAAGTGTAAATCACCGAATTTAATGAAACTTATGTGTATAATATAATTTGTAGAAAAATATATTTTTGTTATCTTTTATGGTGCATATCTATTGACCTTCCTAGTCAAAATTCTGACTACGCCATTGCTAAGAACCGCTGATTCAGAGAAAAAATTATGCAAGAAAATGATCAATCGATATACGTTTTGTTCCTAAGTATGTCTGGAAGCAAGCTATGAAAGAATTTTTCGTTCTCGGTGAAGATAACAAATTGACGATATTTAACATTGTCCTTTCATCAAAATCGACTTTTCGATATTTGTTCCCTTGTCAAAGTATCTCTGACATCGTAAAATACAAAAATTCAAATATCATAAAATTTTCCTGAATTGTATGGCACTTCTTGCATAAATTACGATATATCTAGGCGATAGTACGTGCCATGAAAGATAATTATGACACTGATCATTTTCTCTATCAACAACCTGCTTACTGCAAACCAGTTTTATGTATATCAGCACGTTGACGAAGTATCTTATCATCTAGAAATTTGAAGCTCAAAGCTTGTTGCATTTATGTGATAAAACATGGAACCACGTGCACAGCATGCGTTACACAATTTGTTAGAACAGCAGGTGCGTTAACATTTTTTGGAGTACATTGATAGTAGAAATGTTATCTTCTTTTATACCGATATGTATATATAACTTCGATAGCATTACCCTTAGAATAAATGTAGAAACAAAGTTTCAGCCATACACCTATAAAATTAGTCCAAAATATTTCTCAATGTTGTTTTAACCCTGCTGTTTTGAAATATAATTTAAATTTTCATAGGTATTGTGTTCTTCAATATTTGTTTTATACATTTTGAAACATTATTTTTCTGATGTTACTACAATATTTGTGAAAGAAAATACGTGAAAGGAATATAAACCTATTAATATTATTTGATTAGATAGTAATTTCGTTGCTCAGTTATTCTTTTTGCATTGTTATTGTTACTGATCATTCGTGAATTACATTTCGATTGTAAAGTTTGTCAATGAAATGTAAACAATTTTTATACAGCAAACTCTTCTCTTTAAGAACAGTTGGTGTCTAAATCTCTAGAATCGTTTGTGATAAGAACGTACAATAAATCGGAATTTTTGCTCACGTTTATTATGAATAATGCTATAAACGTTGCTAAATTGCGATTTATTTATCAAACAATGTTGGAATAATGTTTCGACACGCTCACTTTCGGTATTTGCTGATAAGTTATCAACAAATACCATCCGCATCATATACTCTACTTGTAGTCATTAACTATATACATATAATGTTGAGGGAACCTTCAAAAAAAAAGAAAAAAAAAGAGATACATACATTGAAATGCAAGGAACGTTTGACTTTGTCCTGATAAAGAACCCATTTTATACATAATACGGAATTCTGGTCAGAGTCATGTTATTTGCGTGTCTTGAAATCGTTATTGTTTGAAAGATATGTACTTTCATAATAATTAAATGTTAGTAAAATTTAATATTTATGTTTGTTATCAAAGTTATACATTTTTTTATAACTGTCGAATAAGACAGAAATAAAAGAAGATATATTGAAACAATCAACAAAGAAATTTTATTATCTTGATCGTACGTACTTTATAATTATGAAGAATCAATATGAGAAACTTCTTTTTAATACATCTACATATTCATGTTAAAGCGAGAAAATAATTTAAAAATAACGAAAACTTTTAGGATTCATTTTCTTCATCCGGTTTTCGCCACACTTGCAATTATTGAATTTACTCTCCTCCTATATAACGTTTCTCCAAAATTCTGCAGATTTTAGAAACGGTTTTATTTGGATTTTATTTCATATTTCGAACAATGAAACGTTCTTCGGATGAATTTAACACCTTTTTTCTCCCAAATCTACTTTTATTTTCAAGCTTCTAATAATAAATAATAATACGATTGAAAAACTTTTGTTCACGATATTTTCCACTTTTCCAATAATAAATTCTTGCTTTTTTCGTAATATTGTAAGTTCGTGTTTTAAACGTTATATTTAAAAAAATAAAAAGCGTAAAAAGTATCTTTTATTACATCTTTTATCCTTTATATTCCTATCGCTTCTTGCATGTGCCAATAATTTTATGATTCACTGTATAAGTAATTCTAATTGAGCGTGGTCTAAACGTTATATCTTAAAAAATAAAAAGTGTAAAAAGTATATTTTATAAGTACCTTTAAAAGTACCTTTTAGCCTTTATATTCCTATCACTTTTTGCATGTGCCAATAATTTTATGACTCACTGTATAAGAAATTCTAATTGAGCGACAGGTAAATCTCACAATAATACCATGGCAATATCTCTTTTTCTTCTTATCACCGTCGTTATTCTCTTTCATGGAATAGACATGCACTTCAGAATCGTATTTGTTTAGATTCGTCGACTGATTCTATGTAATTGACCCAAATGAAACCTACCAAGCCGAAAACTAATCTCTCGCGGGAAGATTAACGACTGTTCCTGTATCAAATGTTAATTACATCGGAACGTTGATATATTATACGTCGTTATCCATTATTCTTTCAGTTTATGTAACTACGTGATTACTTCCGTAAAATTGCTAACTTTTCGTATAAATTTGTCGGCTTATCGATAATCTTGCTCACGATAAGCATCGTTTACATAAAATGGCAGATTTTTCGGTTTAATGATTTAATTAATAGTTACACGATTTCATTCGTTCCGAAGCTTACCTGAACGTTCGTTCGAATACCTCGGTGACTTTACAATTGTTGTCAAGTTTTGCACGAGATTCTTTGTAAAGTTAGTTTGAATATTGTTTAAAAGATAGTTTGCAAATAACTGTACTCTATTATAATGAAAGTTTTTTACTTTATTTAATTGGTTCGATAGCAACCAATAATGGAGGAACTCCAACCGTTTTACGATAAACATTTGACGCTAAAATAAAAATAATTTGCCGAGACGGAGTTGGGTAAATTGTATTCTCGAACAACAAATAAAAATATTAGCATTATTAGAATTAAGTGTCTGAAAATGGCTATGAATAACTTTTGTTTTCTCTTCTTTTTAACTGAGAAAAATTTATTACAAGAAAATTGTATATCGGTTGTAGTATCAACATTAATACTCACCATATAATTCTCATGTTCATTTGCAACGATAACGATGGCCATCGAGTTATTATCTTGAAAATGACATGTTACGTGAAACGGTGTCCCCTAAGTTATCACTTGTCATCATTATTAACTATTATGTATACTTATAAGACACAGTGGCATTGCATTGGTTACGTTCGCATCATTATGTGCGATGAAATTGTTGAAGCGACGAAAGAAATTATTTACAAACATTGTTTAGCTATTTCACAGTAATTTTAATTCATGGAAAATGTATTTACAATCTGTTTAACGTACACTCACTTTTGTGTAGTATACACGTATAGAAATGTATAAAAAATAATTTAATACAAGATGATTATTAGCATATAATCTATGTATCGACAATTAATTTCGTCATATTGTATCCATTATACTGCTCTACTGAATAATTCCATTTCTGCTTTAACACTACATATTAATGGTTGTTTTCATGTCACTTACAGAACCGTTAAAACTTATAAAAATTATAAAACAATAAATAATTAACTATTGGGTTACACAGCTCTCTTAATACCATGTAATTTTTATTTGAACCATTTTCCTGTAGGACGAATAATTTCCGAGTTATCGAAGGTTACGAAGTTAAATGATTCAACTAGGAAAAGAGAAGAATGATCTAATGGGAAATATTCTCCAGCGTGAACTGTATCTGTGATTACCATGTTTATAATAAACGCGGGTGATCCACATTTTGTATACTTTAGGGATATTTGATGCGTCATTAGAACGAAAATCCTTACTAGGTTTTCCTTTTTCTTATCGTTCCGTGCGTAATTATGCGATAAAAAAAACATGTGATTCTAGACGCGCCTAGAAGGGGGTCTCATTTTGCACTGTATTTTACTGACACCAAAATCATTGATAAACCATTCTAAGGAAAGACATGTTCCTTTGACGTATTACTCTCCTTTAAAATCAGTTGCACATCGACAATATAGCCAGTGCTTCGCTACGTCTGACAAACGGAACATCAGTATTGTTAATTATTTCCTACATAGTCCATCGGAGTCATTTATTTAAGTAGTTAAAACGTAAGGAAATGGCGCATTTCAATTGACTGTCTCAAAAATTAAAAAAAATACTAATCGAATAAGAACAATTGAAATAATTCGAAGACATTCTTTGTTTGTAAACAAATTGAGCATTTAATCTTTGAATGTTTTAACTCGAAACAAAATTAAAAAAAGGTTTACCAAAAACGTTCAGTGCAAATTATTGAAATGTGTACGAAAGCACTAAAATCTCGTCTATTTAACTGATAAACAGGAATGAAGTTTTTATATAAAGTTTCTAAAATAAAATTAATTTTATCGAAATGTTCTTGTTCGTTACAGGAGAAAAATGTCTAAGATGATTTCGTTTAGTGGTTGTAAGCGTTCCTTACCAATGATTGTGATCATTGGTTTAGCAGCAATAATTTGTGTCACGTCCGTTGGTGCAGAACTTCGTCAAGTGAACGTGGTAAGAAACACGGTTATTTATTTTTAGCACGTTTTCTAGATGCAAAACGTCCAGTCAAAATGAAAATCGTATATTTTTATTTAACCCTAATCGTGTTGGGATATGATTTGAGTCACTGGCAAGTTTGAATAACAAAAGGGTCTTGTAAGTAGATATATTTATTCATTAAAGAAATTTTATGTTCGATTAAGGTATAAAACAGATAAAATATTATTACTATACATATAAATTTAAAACTATGCACCTCAAAGTCACATTCCAGTACGATTACAATTATGATTTCTGATAACTTTTTCGAAATAATTATCGACTCTTTTGTTTAACATTTTTTGAACTATCAATTGCAGAAAGACGAAGCAAGTTGTAAAAAATTTAATTAATTTTTAAATGCACCGTTTGTAAATTCACAGCTATTTAGACATGGCGATAGGACACCGGACCACAGTGTCCAAGAAACGTATCCGAACGATCCCTATCTCAATTCCAATTTCTCTCCAATGGGTCGTGGTCAATTAACTAACGTAAGTACCTTTATTTTTCAAATGTTTGATTATTCTTTAAAAATTTGTTGCCATTTAAAATTATTTATTGTTAGTAATTTAGAGTTTAAATCTCATAATTAATCCGTCTATTACTAACATTAAATGTATTGGATTTTACATAAAATAAATTTATTTCTATTCGTCTGAAAATTCGTATCGTGATAATATTTCGATGATTTGCATTTCTAAATATATTTTGATGATAAATTGATCGATCGTATAGTTGATACAAATCAATTGGTTAAAGTTAAACAAAAAGTTTTAAACATTACAGTCGGGCAAAAGGAGAGAATATCAACTGGGAAAAGTTCTAAGGCAGAGATATTTAAAGTTCTTGGGCTCCACTTACACGCCACGCTCCGTCTGGGGTATCAGTTCAGATTATGATAGAACCAAAATGTCATTGCAACTCGTTCTGGCAGCGCTGTTTCAACCAAACGCAGAACAAAAATGGAACCCACAATTAAATTGGCAACCGATTCCCACACAGTACATACGTCGATACGAAGACAACATCTTTCTTCCAGAAGACTGTCCTCAGTAAGTCTCAAAGTAGCGCTATATTTATGTATACAAACTGAATAAATGATATCTCTAACGTATTCTGTGAAACGAAAGGCAATATGCCAAAGAAAATCAGCTACAAATTGAATTTGTACAGCGTTTCAAGAATAAGCTAGTAAAATTTTAAGCTCAAAGAAAACATTAACTGTAATTTGAAGATGACTCCTTATACCCTAAAAAAAGTACATTTCGAATTAATAAAGATTTGAAAAAAGTTTCCTAAATATGAAATATTTTTAGAGCCGTTACACGGAAATCCCCCCTTAACATAAACGTGCAAATTTCGCTATCTTCGCAGTTACGAATGCAACTTATGTTCATCCGCAACGCTTTATGTTTATTTGCTGAAATTTTTACACGGTTAAATATTGAAAATATTTAAACTTGAATCTTGAAATTTTTATGAATAATATTTTCTCCATAGATATTCAGCTGAATACGACCGAGTATTATATTCGCCTGAGGGACGCAGAGAATTGGCAAAATATAGTAAATTTATGAAACAATTAACAACGTGGACTGGAAGGAATATAACAGAACCCTGGGATATGTACAATATGTATCATTTATTAATGGCCGAACATTCTATGGGGCTTTCTTTGCCACAGTGGACACACGACATATTTCCATATGGTGAGCTGTGGAATGGAACTGTATTCGCGTACGATATTTCTTGTTCTACTCCATTGCTAAGAAGGCTCTACGCAGGTAAGATAGTTTCGTTAATTTTCATCTATTCGATTACTATCCTTGCTTCATGATCTAGCTTTGATCCTATCCCGATTTTACTTTATTTTTGGGGTTGTAGAATTGTTATTCTCAGTTTTTGATCCTGTTCGTCTTATTCGCGTTTCAGGACCGTATCTTCGACTTGTCACGAAAACCATGCTGACCTCCATAACTGGAACATTAAAGGACGAACGGAAGATATACCTGTACAGTGGTCACGAAAACGTTGTCAGCGCCATTTTGCACGCTTTTCAGGTATATCGTCCGCACGTACCCGAATATTCCAGCGGCGTGATAATGGAACTCCACGAACTAAATAATAACTATTACGTAAAGGTTTGTAAAATATTATCAGTTATTCGTCTCTTTTTCTTCTTTAATTTTTATTTTATTACCTCCTCGTCAGAGTTCAAAGTCAGGTATGGAGGAAAGTTATGTGGTGTCAGTGTATATCGAATCTATATTGAAAATCTAGTCGTAGATTCTTTGTAGTTGTTTCAATTTCAATACGTAGCTACTTCAGAATGCGAATTATTTATAACGAAGATTCGAATCATACTTGCAGATTCTTCATTATTTGGGCATTCCGTCGAAAGTAGAAGAGCTCCGTCTTCCTGGCTGTGATATTATGTGTCCTCTGGACAAATACTTGGAGCTTACTGAGAATTTGATGCCATCCAAGGAAGAATTGGTTTGCGACAAGAGAATAACGCCAGATTACGCCGATGAAAAATCAAACGAAGAAATAGATTTGGACAATTATAACTTAATAAGAAAAGCACGAGCCTATGATGTTGAATTTATTCCTCGTCAAACCAAAGAAAACTGTTAAGAAATGATATACTGTGCGAATAATGCAATATCCTGCATTAATCAAAGACTTATTAAAATCATTGATTTAAATTGCATGTTACCTAACGTTACAGATACTTAGGCGCGAGGAAAATTAGTCGTTTACTATCTTTTATGTATAGAGAGAATATACATAGAAAATTACATATTTCGATGTAACCTGCAATTATAGTCATTGAACAATAATATTCAAATTTATTTAAATTTCTAATATTATTTAGAATAATAATGGTTTGTACTTACTGTCTTGCGATGCTTGACGCGTGATTGATTCAATAACTTATTTATTTTCTAACCCACAAATACTGACTAACGTATCGTTAACGAAAAAGCTCAAGGCCATCTTTTCTTTGAAGAAATATGCTGTACCTATTATTTGTATGTGCAAAATAAATTTATATAGATTTAATTGAAATTAATTTCTTGTAATTATTTAATCGTAATTTTTTGATAATTATACAACGCTAAACTTAAACGTTATTTATATTTAAGAAGTTGCCATAATATTGTCGAATCAAGTTTCTATAAACTGAAAGCAGAATTTAGAGAAAGGAAAAGTATAAACACATTTTGTAGAGCTTTAATGTTCTATAATATTATTTCTGAAAATATGTTCTTTTACACGATAGGAAAAAGGTTTTCATAAAATACTATAAACTTTACTATTGTTTTATCGTTTCGTGCTGAATATGTTTTATTTACAAAAATTATAATCTATATAATTTACATTTACGTTCACGTTTGTTATAGAATTTAATATTTAATCTAAACTCTCTATTATGTTGTTGTACTTGAAACTCAAAATTATATCTTTAGTAAATTCGATAACACGAGACTGTAGCTTATCTATAGTCTTTTTAGGTCAACCACACGGATCATTCTTTCTGATCAAAATCTGTCAAACAAAACGTCGCGTTATTAGTTTACTAAACCTTTCTAGATCACAGTAGTAATATTCTAAGTTGCACCTGCTATGTTTACATTCTCACAAAAAGCGAATCTAATCCATTTTCCACTTCAGCAACTAAATAACATAATTTTTTAGTTTAGTTTCACTTAAATAACCTTGAACCAACCATATCGGTGAAACAAATGAAACATTAAAAACAATAGACTTCGTGTTAACGAAGTTTTATTTGTTGAAAAAATATAATTAAATATACACAAGTGCAACGATCGGAATTGTGAGTGCATTGTTCTGTTTAGTGCTGTTACGATTACGTAATGTACTGCAATTTGCTATATTGAAAAATCGCGTGCGGTTTTCTCCTCCTATCAACGAGTCACTGTCTTAAAAAGACCCATGCGTCAAACACTTCCTAGTGCAATGATTTTCTTTTCCTCGTGACTCAACGTTATAATTTCTGTTTTCAAATTCCGTTGGGTAAGGACTCTCCAGGAATCGGATCCGAATTTTGAACACTTCCGCTTACTGTTTGTCAGAGTTCGAGGAAATAAGTACTTTGTCGAGCGTTAATGAGGGTCGTGGACTCTTGGCCGAATGGAAATATATGCTCAGTTATAAAATCAGATGTAAAGTAACCGTCAGAACGGAGCAAACGTTCTTTATTCGTTGCGCGTTGAGACGTCAGCATTTCGGTGTAACCAGTGCAAGACATTTTCTGTGGCATTGTTAAAAGGTAATTCTTTAATCAATTATCAACACGTGTTATAACGTTTGTAAACCGAGTTCAATATTCCACAAATTGTTCTGAATTTAAAATATCGAACAGTAGGTTATCGCGGGTTAACAGGTTGAACGAAAAGTTCGTGCGTTTTTATTCTAAATAAATTCGACTGTATTCTTCTTCTACAAAAAGTGATTTATTCGATGGATGACCAACTTGGCAAAATTTTTGTGATTTTTACGAGAGATATTCTTAAAGGGCTGTTCATATCAAATCGATCAACGAACCGTTTTAGAAACCAGTTGATAATTCACGTTAAATCCGTTAACCATAAATTTCGATAAGCGTAAATTCATAATTCAGAAATAGATTTTAACGTATGTTTTTGAGGATAATGAAGGAGTATACGAAGATGACAGTCTTCGCGTGAAACGTGCGCCCATATCAAAGTGTTAAAGCGTGTATTTTTTATTTATTTATTATTACTTTATTATCTCCAGAAAAATGAACATTGCGGGGAGTTTAACGATACTTGCTTGTCTATTTTATTTTCAACCGTGCGTGGCTGAACTTAAACTTGTACAGGCAGTATTTAGACATGGAAACAGAATGCCTACGGAAGGAAGGACGTTTTATCCGCACGACCCTTATGACAGCAAATCGTACGAACCAGAAGGATACGGCAGCCTAACAAACGTACATATCACTTATTTACACAATTATATTAGTCACTTTGGTATTTTTGATTAACAAAAATAATTAGAAATGTTTTTATAAATCGCATTTTCGTTTATTATATTCTTGTTAAAATTTCAAAATTAACTAAGATAACTGACTTATCGTTCCTTCTATTACACGTAACTCTATTGCTAAATAATGAATCAGAAATCAAAATGTAAGTTCGATACTGGACATGAGTCTACGACAGTATAGTCAAGTTATGTGAAATTTGTAATTCGTATAGGCTGGTAAAATGTCATCGTATAAACTTGGCCAGTACTTTCGAAAAAGATACGATAAATTCTTAGGGCCAATTTACTCAAAGGAATTTGTATGGTTTCGTGCTGACGAAATAGAGAGAGTGGTAATGACTGGAGAACTCGTGGCTGCTGGAATGTATCCGCCATGCAAAGAACAAATGTAAACTTAATTTTCAATTATTAACTGTTATGTCAATAACCAAGTTGAATGTTCTTATAATATTGTAATATTGCTCTGGATCCAGATTCTTTGGACAATTCTATTAGGTCGTCCCAAAAGTTCGAGCTGTTCAATATTCTTGAAATTGACGAGGATAAAATTTGTAATTTAATAGAAAACAAACAAACTTTGTCAGTTCACGAGAGTTTTGAAATTTTAAACATACTAACGTCTATAATTCATACTTTGAAACAAACAGATATTATGTTAAAGCTCGAAGTTTGGAATTGCATGAATATTTTTCTTAGTATAAACTGGATGTTCGGCCACCCCTGGAAAAAATTTTAATGGGAGATTCTAGAGCCCAAAATAAGACGAAAATCAAGAATATCAATTTCTTGATTAAGGCTTCGATAAAAAGTTATTAAAAAATTAAATTAAAAAATTTCAAATAGTTCTGGAAAAAATATTTTCAGTTGCAGGGGTCAATTATAAGCATTTTTGGTCAAAAGATATACCCCCGAAATCCTACGCAGCTTCGAGAAAAAAATTCCTTACCAAAATTATAATTTCTGGCCAGAAATGTCTGCCCGATACGAATCTTTAATACATCATAACTTCTGATCGGATTGGAAGATTTTAATGTTTCAAACGGCAAACAATGCGTATTTTGGTGGAGAATATGTAGAAATTCTAACAATATTGAAAAAGTTGTTCCTTGATCCCGTAAAATGAGAAAACCCCCATAAAAATGGTTCAATTTTCAAACAGCCATAACTCCTGCGATAGTGAATATATTTCAATGAAACTTTTTTCTGAAGTAGATCTCATGGATACCCACAAAAAAGTATTAAACAACTTTTCTGTACAGCGCGCAAACAAATTCATTAAAAATGAAAAACACATTTGTAAGAAAAATCGACTGCCTAAATTTTCCGGCGAAAAAAAATTTCAAATCGTTCTGGAAAAATTATTTTCGGTTGAGAGGGTTAATTACAAGTATTTTTAATGAATAGACATACCTTCTAAATCCTACTCAGTTTCGAGAAAAAAATTCGAGTAGGTGTTGAAATTTTTCGGTAAAATTAAAGAATTTCGAATCGTCTTGGAAAAATTATTTTTAGTTGCAGGGGTTAATTATAAGCATTTTTTGTGAATAGACATACTCCCGAAATCCTACGCATTTTCGAGGAAAAAATTTAGTACGGCTGGAACTTTAAACGTTAATAACTTTTTAACGAAGTCTAAATCAACAAATTGGTATTCTTGATTTTCGTCTTATTTTGGCCACTAGAATCTCTCATTATAATTTTTCTCAGGGGTGGCCGAACACCCTGTATAATAAAACCGAACCTTATAAAAAATAAAATACAACAATCTCCAGCCTTATTAGTGGATAAACAATTTGGGAATATCAACATTTTAATGAAATGTGTTGAACTACATTTTAATACAAAATCAAAGCGACGATAAAATGGCTTCGCCAAAGGAAGGGGAGGGAGTTGTCGAACGAGAAGAGGTTTACTGTTCTCCATAAAATTCCATTATATCTTTAAAATATTGTTTTAGATTGTAGTAAAAAACTCGGCACGAACATATGGAACGACCTAATACATTAATTTGCGTTTTTAAAATAACAATGTATGAAGAAACTATCGAGTATAAGGACTTTAAATACTTATATGCTTGTGGTTATTGAACAACCCTGAATATTTTGGTTATTGACACAAAAGTTTAACGAAGAATTGATATAACGTCGTAAAGAAGTGTTGATCGATAAAAATAAAACGATTCAATATTACAGGTGGAATCCTCAGCTAAATTGGCAGCCTATACCAGTATGGGCGCCGCCATTTGCAACCGATTATCTTTACAACGGCCTGTTTTGCACAAATGCAAAAAAATGGAGAAATAATGTTGAAAAAACGGACAAAGATATAGTGAAATATGAAAAAGAAAACAGTGATATTTATCGATACCTATCGGAGCATACAGGGAGTAATATCACTCAACAAAGGACATTTAGTTTGCGTCAAACATTGTACGCGCAGGTGAATAATATTTTTAGAATTATTTTCCATAATTTATTCTACGATATCATTTAAATGACTATTATGAATGCGTTTGGGTGGAGTGAATACGATACACCCAATTTTCAGTGACTCCGGCACATAAATTACACTGTATCTCACCGATAATGCGAATGGTGTTTCGAGATGTGATTTGTTGAAATAAACAAAAGACTTAACAGCTTGGTGACCTGTAGACAGATGCATTTTTCGAAATTATCACATCATTGAAAATTCACATTATTAAATATTTAAGCGTAAATGTGTTAAAATGCACCTTGTGGTCGAAATATACGTATACATATAAATCGCATTAGAAATAGTATTAATCTTTACCTTTTTTAGTATTCTAAGAGATAAAAAACTATAAGTAAACCTATTTATTTGCATATTTTTAATATTCTAGAGAGATATTGGTTTAAAATTGCCCGAATGGACAAAAAAGGTTTTCCCAGATGGAAGATTGGATGAGCTTGCCACGTATGATATTTTAATTCGGACTCGTACTCCGGAATTAAAACAACTATTAGGTGGTAAGTTTAAAACCATTAATATACATTATACGATTATTTTTAATATGACAATTTTTCATGAAATAATTTTTTAAAATATTAAATATTATTTACTCATTGACGACATATTTATACATATACTAAAATATTTATTGTAACAGTATCTGTTACCATATAGTGTAAATCAAGTTACGTACATATTTAATATAATATTTGATTATTATGTTCAATAGGAATATGGGTTCGTGAATGGTTGAAAAACGTAGATAACTATTTAAATCAGATTGATACGCGAAAAGCATTTATGTATGCTGGCCATGAATTAAACATTGCGGCTATACTCGTAGTATTGGACAATTTCGACTATGAAATTCCTTCCTACAGTAGTACTGTCATGTTTGAATTACACGAAGTCAATAATAAATATTACGTGCAGGTAATGTTGTAATACATAAATTAACTAGTAACTGCTAGTGTATTTACCATCATACTAAAATAATTGAACTGTAAATATTTTCTATTTATTTTTTCACTTCTATGTATATTAATTTTATATAATTGTCTATAAAAGATAAAATACATATCTTCTGGCATAGTAATAATTTCACATCTTCTATACATCTTTTCCACGTGAAAATTATTGCTTGTTACAAAAATAATAATTTGTATTTTTTGTTTCGTTTTCATTGTTCACAGATACTTTACAGAAATAACGATGATATAAGAATTTTGAAATTACCCGGTTGTGGTAAAGAAATGTGCTCGTTGGACAAATTCAAAAACTTCGTAGCACCGGTAATACCTAAAGATATAGCAGCATTATGTGGAAATACCAACGAAATTAATTCAGCAATAAAACAACAATCTAACTATTGAAACGATACTATTTATCTAACTTTTATTTATTTAATATTATTTATATGTAAATATTTACTAAATATTTAATTTAAATAATTTATTTGTAATTCAACAATAAATTCTTTAGAAATTATTTTTAAAGGCTGAAAAAGGAGATATTATAAAATCAATTTTTCTATCTGTCTCTCATGACGTATGACCAGTGTGGCCAGATCGGGCATAATTGAGTGCATCGAAATCGACAACAGTGACGACGAACTTCCTTAGCGTCTAACGGAATGGTGGGGATAGCAGGCATACACTACCGCACGAGCCACGTGTACGTGAGCTCGGCGCTTGCGCACAACTTCGGGAAATCGATAAAGAACGCTAGTGTGAGCCTTTCCTTCTTGCTCTTGTAAAAGACAAAACAACTGAAATACGATCTCGCGATAAGTGGCATACGATTCCAAGTCTCGACTGCCCCAGCATTTTTACTTTCCGACCTATATGTAAGGTATAAGGAAATTTATAAAGTATCATAATGAAAAAAATTTTGAAGTTTTTTTTTAGCGGAAATACACGTTTTAGGACCCCCTGATCATATTGTGACTATTGAAAAAAAGACATTTTTTTTGTTCCTCAACGACTAACAATAAGAGAATTTCAATAACGAAAAAAATATTTCGAAATTTTTTTTAGCGGAAATACACGTTTTAGGACCCCCTCATCATATTGTGACTACTACAAAAAAACATATTTTTTTTTTGTTCCTATGCTATTGACATGATTGCGTCTAAACGGCTGAATGAATTTCAATGAAACTTAACATTTAAGTTTTATGTTCTCGTTTTAAGGTCTCATTATATTTTAAGCGTGATCAGCTCCCATATAATGATGATTATACGTTTTTAGTTTTATAATTATTTCGATACATACACATCATTTGTAACAAATTTTTAAAGCGATTTATATAAATCTTAAGAAGGATTAAGATCAAATATATTTTTCTCCTATCTTTCCTAGACAGGAAAAATTAAACGAAATCTTATGCCTTGCATACCTACCTAAACCACATAAAAAACGTATTCCACAAATATTTTAGAATAATGTTGTTCAAAGCAGTCTTACTCGTAAAGGGTTAATTAAGGGTTAATTAAAATGAAAAACCACTCTTAGCCAGTACCGTGCACGCTACAAAAATAGATTACTACTGACTTTTCCCACTATGTTTTTTAATAACCGTATCAAATTGTTACACACAATCAAATGTTATATATTTGACTTAACTTTACATAACAAAATAATTGTAACGATAGGTAAAAGAATAACGTGCACGCTACCGTTCAATGGAAACCACGGGAAGGTGATGGTCACTTCCATCAGGAGGGAAATGTAAAAAATTGTTATTTCTTTGTAACATTATCACATGGCATATATTAGAACGTCTATATTCTTCTTTCCTTTTTTTTTGATTCCCCTCTAAATTCATTTCTGCAAAATGAAATATATTAAATTGACGTCTATATACTGCTATTCATTCGATAGAACTTTATTTCTAATTATTGCCTTTTAAAAACCTATGGGAACTGTGCTATACAGGGTGTTCGGCCACCTCTAGCAAAAATTTTAATGAGCGATAGTAGAGGCCAAAATAAGACGAAAATCAAGAATACCAATTTGTTGATGGAAGCTTCGTTAAAAAGTTATTAACGTTTAAAGTGCCGCCCTTACTGAATTTTTTTCTCGAAAATGCGCAAGATTTCGGGGGTATGTCTATTCACCAAAAATGACTGTAATTGAACCCTACAACCGAAAATAATTTTTCCACAACGATTTGCAATTTTTTAATTTTCTCGAATAATTTCACACCTTCTCTATTTTTTTTCTCGAAAGTAGATAGGATTTCGGAGGTATGTGTACTCACCAAAAATGATTGTAGTTGACCCCCGCAACCGAAAATAATTTTTCCAGAACGATTTGAAATTTTTGAATTTAATTGTTAATAACTTTTTAACGAAGCTTCCATCAACAAATTGGTATTCTTGATTTTCGTCTTATTTTGGCCTCTACTATCGCTCATTAAAATTTTTGCTAGAGGTGGCCGAACACCCTGTATAGCACAGTTCCCATAGGTTTTTAAAAGGCAATAATTAGAAATAAAGTTCTATCGAATGAATAGCAGTATATAGACGTCAATTTAATATATTTCATTTTGCAGAAATGAATTTAGAGGGGAATCAAAAAAAAAGGAAAGAAGAATATAGACGTTCTAATATATGCCATGTGATAATGTTACAAAGAAATAACAATTTTTTACATTTCCCTCCTGATGGAAGTGACCATCACCTTCCCGTGGTTTCCATTGAACGGTAGCGTGCACGTTATTCTTTTACCTATCGTTACAATTATTTTGTTATGTAAAGTTAAGTCAAATATATAACATTTGATTGTGTGTAACAATTTGATACGGTTATTAAAAAACATAGTGGGAAAAGTCAGTAGTAATCTATTTTTGTAGCGTGCACGGTACTGGCTAAGAGTGGTTTTTCATTTTAATTAACCCTTAATTAACCCTTTACGAGTAAGACTGCTTTGAACAACATTATTCTAAAATATTTGTGGAATACGTTTTTTATGTGGTTTAGGTAGGTATGCAAGGCATAAGATTTCGTTTAATTTTTCCTGTCTAGGAAAGATAGGAGAAAAATATATTTGATCTTAATCCTTCTTAAGATTTATATAAATCGCTTTAAAAATTTGTTACAAATGATGTGTATGTATCGAAATAATTATAAAACTAAAAACGTATAATCATCATTATATGGGAGCTGATCACGCTTAAAATATAATGAGACCTTAAAACGAGAACATAAAACTTAAATGTTAAGTTTCATTGAAATTCATTCAGCCGTTTAGACGCAATCATGTTAATAGCATAGGAACAAAAAAAAATATCGTTTTTTTCAATAGTCACAATATGATCAGGGGGTCCCAAAACGTGTATTTCCGCTAAAAAAAAATTTCGAAATTTTTTTTTCGTTATTGCAATTCACTTATTGTTAGTCGTTGAGGAACAAAAAAAATGTCTTTTTTTCAATAGTCACAATATGATCAGGGGGTCCTAAAACGTGTATTTCCGCTAAAAAAAAACTTCAAAATTTTTTTCATTATGATACTTTATAAATTTCCTTATACCTTACATATAGGTCGGAAAGTAAAAATGCTGGGGCAGTCGAGACTTGGAATCGTATGCCACTTATCGCGAGATCGTATTTCAGTTGTTTTGTCTTTTACAAGAGCAAGAAGGAAAGGCTCACACTAGCGTTCTTTATCGATTTCCCGAAGTTGTGCGCAAGCGCCGAGCTCACGTACACGTGGCTCGTGCGGTAGTGTATGCCTGCTATCCCCACCATTCCGTTAGACGCTAAGGAAGTTCGTCGTCACTGTTGTCGATTTCGATGCACTCAATTATGCCCGATCTGGCCACACTGCGTATGACTAAAGTAGGTACACAAAAAATAAAATTAATATTTTTAATAAATCATTTCTCTAAAACAGATTTTGACTGAAATGTCCAATTCCCAATTGGATCCCGCAACTCTTTAATCCACACACATATACACAATTTAGTTTAAATATATACACATAGATCAAGTATTAAAGTGTTTCTATTTTTGTTTTCAAAAATTTTATTCATTAGCTTCTACGTTTCTCTATTCTACACATGTATATTTTATTACCGATTTGTGGTAATACTGTTGAAATAACGTTCTAACATGAACATTACTAATTAAAATACATTTGTTTCTACTGTGATATGTGCTAATTTTTATATCGTTTACGTAAATGTTTCATTACATTAATTTAAGTAAAGAATTCAGTAATATCAACTTTTTGAACATTTTAGTTAGGATTCAATTTTTCTTCGTACAGCTTACAAAGTTCTTCTTTCGATATATAATCCCATATATGATTCATTTCTTGTTCCGATGGAATGACATTTTGTACTAACTCAATATACTTATCGATTGGACAGATCTCGTCGCAGCCAGGGAATTTATAAGGTATCAACTCTTCCGTACTTCCAGTCCATAGAATCATCTAGAAACACATGAAATAATGCAATTTGGCTGAAAAACATGATAATTTTTTTTATCCACGATAAAAGCAATTTTCAGTCGTTTACTAATTAAAGAAATAATTGATTCGATCAATTTAGCTGATCCATTCCTTATTGTAAGCTGTACGTTTTCCTTTTGTCAATGATATCATGCATTAAAACGTCTTTCTGAATAAATTACCCTAATAAAGTGCTTGCCAGCTGCGTCGCTTAATTTTTCAAATATGATTGCACAACCATACATTGGCAGATCCGGCACAGTGACATTGTGCGCTCTCACGAATCCTGCGATATTCGTTTCGTGACCGCTATACAAGTAAATTTTTCGTGGTGTAGCGCTATCTTCGTTACGTTTTATGTTATCGATAAATCTTTTGATAAGTGCGCCACCGTTCAGTCGTCTCATTAGCGACGTGTAAGAACGAATCTTATACTCGAGTCTAACAACATCCTGAATATTTTTGTAAACATCATCGGTGCACCATTCTGGCATTACCAGATTCATGCTTTTCTGCAAAATCATTTCAATAAATGTAACACGAACAAATACATTTAAACGATGCAAGTATTAAGAGGATCTCCTACAAATTCGATCGAAAAAATAAGCTTTCTTTACCAAACAAAATGTTTTTTTTACTTGTTTGGACGTACCGATTATTAAATAATTATATTAAAAAGATTTGTGTGCATTCTCGAAAGGTAAATAAAAAAGTGAGCAGAACCATCGTTTTTTGCAAAAAATGTAAAAGGAAGCTTTTTTTTAGTGTGACAGAATAATCTTAAATTATTTCTAAATGATTAACTGCACCTGTGCTACCAGCAAATTATAAATTTCATACACTTGGCTCGTTCGAGTTATATTTATGCTAGTTTTCTGAGACAGAAACTTGAGTAAATCGCTGAACACTGAGATTTTGTTAAGAACCTCTTCTGATTTTCTCACTGTCTTTAGCGCGTCCAAATACCTGTAATACAATATTTCTTACAATTTTAATTTGTCTAGCAATCTAAAAAAGGTGTATCAAAGCAAATAATCTTTTTGGTGTTTTTTGCTTTTACGAATTTTAGTAAAATTCGACGCAAATTTTTACAGATTACTTTCAGTTCCGTTTCACTTAAAGGGAGATTCTCGTGTAACAGCATTAAAATTAAAGTTTCCTTTTTAATTTTCTTCATACAGAATTAAAAGTTCTATTATTATAGACTTTTAGGAACACGAAGAAACACCCTTAAACTATATGAAAATATTTTTTTTAGTTCATTTTTTATTATCTTTTATTAAATAACAGTCTTCATCATAGAGATTAAAACGCAACAAACTAAAAGTGTTCTTAAGGCTGGTTAGTTCCCATTGACAATGAACCTATTTTAGCAAAAAATATAAAAAATTTAAAAAACTATAGCATTTTGAAGACAAAATTTTTATATCCAAACAAAAATTTTCCTCAAAATGTTATATTTTTTTAAATTTTCCATATTTTTTGTTTAAAATAGGTTCAGTGCCAGTGGAAACCAACCAGCTTTCAGAACATTATTCGTTTGTTGCGTTCTTATCTCTATAATGAATGCTACGTTGTACACCAACTATGGTTAGATCGGCGGATAAGATTACAAGACTTAACTACTATTTAAATGATAATAAAAAATGGACTAAAAAAATATTATCGTACAGTTTAAGAGTCTCTCTTTATATTCCTAGAAGTCTAGTACAATAAAACTTCTAATTCTTGACGAAAAAAATGAAAAAGAAAAGTTTAATTCTAGCGCTGTTGCACGGGAAATCCCTCAAAAACTCGCGCCCCCTATAAAAATTGTAGCAAACACAGTTCGACTGGGCTGTAAGACACTTACACTGGAGAGAAATCTGGTTTCATTATATTGTCCACTTTCTCCGGCATATAATGTATCGGTATAGGCATCCATGACAAGTCTTTGTTCCACATTTGCGTTGGGGACGGATGATAGAGCGCAGCCAAGACTAATTGAAGAGACATTTTTGTTCGGTCCATGTCTGTGCTGTAAGCGTACACGTCACTAGGATGATAAATATCGCCTAAGAATTTGTTATAACGATCTCGTAACATTTTTCCTATACGATATTCTCTCATTTTTCCTTGCTGCAAATGAATGGCATTGGTTATCTATATTCCCATTTTCTACTTACACGCGATTTATTCTTGTTACGTGTGTATACATTTGTCAGCTGCCCGAGGCCCCAGGGCTCATACGTCGACACATTATGAAGATCGTTCAGGAGCAATTCTTTCTGGCGCGGTACTCGTTCTCCATGCCTGAATAACTAACGAAATTTTGACAATTTTAGAGAAAAAAATCCATTGGAGATTAGTGCCTGTCATAACAATTTAGTTTTACGATTCAAATGTCATCTATTATATCAGCATTTAGGTAAGAAAACAATTAGGTGCCTGGGAGGCGTAACGAAAGTTACCTTATCTAATGTTTGAGATTCTTGTGATTTATTGTTATTATTATACCGATAAAATGAAATATTTGACGAAGATTTTAATCTTGGATCCTTTAGTAAATTATCTATTTCACGTTGAATTAAATTACTTAATATGTTTTACTAATATACATATAATATAAAATATTTTCTATAACTGTTTTAAGAATCGTAATCGATATCACAACAGTTCTCAATCCCTTTAAAACGTAATGTAAACAAAGATGCCGAAATATGTATTAGAATTTGAAATTTACACTGTTGTATTTGGGGAAATGTACATAAATTAAAGTAGAACCTCTGTTATATGTATAGATCCTTACAACGAATAAAAAATTGCAAAAACCTAGTAAGTCTAACAAAGTAAAGTGTCATCTAAGAATATTATAGCGAAACAAAATAAATAAAATAATCGAAACTATTATATTTAGCTTTGATAGGATCGAGCCACGAAAACAATGCTTAAGTCAACGGATCTGAAGGATTCGGAGTGTATCATGAAAAAAACTTAAATTATTGTTTTTATTCATACAACCGATTATAAAAATTAAAACAAAATATGTACTTACCACTTGTACTAATTCCACTCGAAATTCTGTTTTCGTCGAGTGTATAGATAAACCTAAGATAATAATAAATACCGTTACAACTAAGTTTCTATCAGTCATATTAAAGAACAGGAAATGTGATTTGAAATGTGAAAGTTTCGAACTATGCTCGATACGTTTAGCTGTACGACAGTAACACTGTTTCACTTTAATGCGAAGCAACGCTGGACCTCTACATAGGATAACTGATGACCCGGACGCAAATATTGTAGCTTATATTCGATTGTTCTTTCGTCAGAATAATATATATATATATATATAAAATGAAAATATTGCACTTCTTAACATTTTCGCACGATATGGAGAAATAGGTTATAAACAATATGTGTCAGTGAAATCTTAAACTAAAATTGTAACGTACGATGAAGACAAGAATAGCAACTCATAGTTAAACAGTAAATAGAATATTATATAATAGTGACAATATTGATAGTGACAATACCGACCGTCACCATTTTAAATGAGATACGATTAAAATGCCGACGGTTGATATTATTTTGGTCGTAACAATAATTAAATTCAAATAAGTTCGCGCGTTAACAAAATCGTGCGATAGATTTAATTAGACACTGTATATACGTGTATATATGTGTATTTGTTTAAAGTTGGCAGCACCACTTAGAATTTATGTCAAGGTGCAAGAAGACAATTACATAATCAGATAGATTTTTAATAATGAATGGTATCCAATTTCAGTATGTAATGAAACATTTCATGCATCGATGTTACATATTTAGACGTTACGTACTCATATCGTAGTAAGTGACCTTTGAACTTGAAGTTAAATACACTGATACACCGTTATATAATGGAAGACGGTTGAGATTGTTTGGAAATAACTACGGAATCACGTTGACACGAGCAATAATCCGTTGGGCCACTAATATATTCCACGCTCGGCATCGATAGAATGCTACGTAATCGGTACTTAAATGAATCAGAAATATAAAACTAACCGCGAAAGGTTGAAATCGCTAGTTTTAACTCCGAATATAGGAGATTTTATGACTAACTGAACATATCATGGCGATTATAGTAAGCTCTTAAGTAATAAATATGGTATTATGTTTGTGATACGAAACACACTGTTATCTCCTGTGTCATATTCTTTTCTTAGATTCTGAAATTTGTCATGCAACTGCATCAACTTGCTATTTAACGGTTCAATTATACAACAGTCACAAATTTATTAGAAACAAAGAATGTTTACACGCATATATTTCAAACGTTATCACATCTGTGAAACTTTTTTTTAATTGTTACGTGTACGTATATTTCCTCTTTCATTTTACATTTCAAATTTTAATTGAATTCATAAGTAAGAACATACACCAGGAATAAAATGGAAACGATAAATGCTTTCTCCAAATTCTTCGTTAGTATAATTGTAAAAGACAAAAAATCAAGGACAGTTAAATTGTTGTGTGCATAAGAGAATAGAAATTTCATTACACATCTTTCACATTCTAGATATTTCATAACATATAACAAAATTATCGTTTCTTTGAATTTGTGAATCGAGAAGTATTTTATAAATGTCTAATTTGGCGCTCTTTTTGCAGATTCGTCAGTCATATCACAGATAAAGAATAAGATAGATCATCCTATTGGTTTCTAATACATTCCACATTGGCTAATGATAGCGATAACAAGTGAATAGTGATAATAATATTTTACGATAACAAAAGTTTTAGTCAAGGATGTAGCCAGATTGTTGAAATCTAGCTATTTCTAAATAATTTTAAACTCTTTAAAGTGTGATACAATTATATCATCGAAAAAAGAATGAGAACTGCAAGTATTCGATACCATAATACCATAATAGTCGATCATTGTTTAAATATTATATTTTATATTAGAAAATAAATAATTAGTAATTATGTTTTAGTTTAGCATTGTTTTCCCTTCATAAAGGAAAACTTCCCTAGACACAGTTTCGAATATGCTCTTAATCATATTAAACTCGTCCATCGTAATCGATAAAGATAGCACACGTAGGAAAGTTGTGTTTGTGATATAACTGTAGACAACGTATATTATAGACGGAACTAGTTAAATCTGCCACAATTTTTCGCGCATACGCGTGGAAACTATTTCTTACATAACGTCATGGAAACCAGGAAGAGTTTTAGCGAAGCTCCTGCACGTAACAGTAATAGGTGAGGTAGGTTAGGGCATTTAAAAGGTGTTATGGATGAGCTATACGGATGAGCTGTACAAATAGATGTTACATCCAATTACAGACCAGGTATACGAATAGACCTTACATAGAATGTACATACGTATTTTTTCGGTCCATTTCTCTAGGATTCTAGAGCTCCATTACCATCTTCGTATCACTCGCAACGTTACCAACAGGTTATACAAATGAACATAAGTACCTAGAAGTGAGACAGGAAATGAAATTATAGGAATTCTTTTGTTTTTTTAACGTAACGAAAGCTGTACGGACTAAAATCAATCGATTAATTTCATTGGAGTAATCAATCGATTAATGAAATTATTACAGAGGTGTCTATCAGATTTTCAGAAAAATTTGCAACTTTGTAAGGGAATCATTTTGAACAATTTGTTTCTCAAAATGATGCCCTCAATAACACATTAGGGCCGCAAATCCCCTATTTTTTATTTTAAATTGTAATACATCATTTGTTTAAAAAATAACTCGGCGAAAACGTATTTTACTTTTACTCTATACTTACACAGGTATAGGTATAGGTAGGTACTTATGCCCATACAGTGCACATTCATTTGGTAAACTTTTATGCTGTTCCCTCAGCAACTGCTTGATATTCATTCCTTGCACAACTTCTGAACCGTTAATACGTATATTATTTTATTGAGTTTAATAAAGTTTATTAGTTATTGTTCAATTGTGTTTACATATATAAAACATATACAGTAGCAGAAGAGTAACGCTACAATTTGAAAATTTAAGGCGCCGTCTATGAATTGGGATTTGAACTACTAAAATGTATCAGGTTCAAATAATAGGAAAGGAGGTCGACGATGAACATTTTCTTGTCAATTCGATTAATCGATGTACACGGTTTGATTATTCATTAATTACTGTTTTTCTGTGATTAGGTCCGACCTTTTCATAGTTCGGAAAGTAAAAATACCTGGACAGTCGAAATTCGAAATCGTATGCCGGTGACGCGAGATCGGATTTCAGCTCTATTAAGAGCAAGAAGGGAAGACTTACATTCGCCTTCTTTCTCGAATCTCCGAAGCTATACGAAGTATCAGAGCTCACATACAAGGTGGCTATGCATTAGTGTGTTTAAATGGAGGGGGAGTTTCCTTTGGATACTGATCTACCGTCTGATAACACTGAATTGCCTTTTCCAATCCCTCCCTAGTCAGCTCACATATATGTACGCACGACACAGCTGTGCCCATCAATACTAATTCAGTGAATAGTTTCTCAAGTGACCGTCATCCATGAGAAGAGGACGCTAAAATCATCTCCTTTGATTCGGTATGCCAGTCAGATTGAGCCACGGAAGTCCATAAGATGTAAGGTCTATTTGAATAGGTTCTTACCTCGTCTGTGATCAATGTATTTTTTCGCCCCATATCTACGTAGATCTAGATCCCATTATCCTTTCAGTGTCACTCGCAACGTTACCAACAGGTTATAGAAAGTGACCATAATAGCACAGACGAGATATATGAATAGACGTTTCACCACAGACGAGATATATGAATAGACGTCTCACGTAATGTAATTTTTCGGCCGGAGTTTCTGGGGTCCCGAGACCCCATTACCATTTTCGTGTCACTCGCTACGTTATCAACAGATTCAGAAATTAACACAAGAGGAAGCGAGACAGAAAATAAAATTACATAAATTTTATTATTTTTTAACGGAATTAAAGCTGTAGGGTCCATCATTGGACATTAATCGATTAATTTCATTGGAGAAATCAATCGATTAAGAGTATTTAAAAATTTCAAGATTATTAAAATTCATAAGGATGTATTTCATTGATACGTACACCGCAAATTCTCTATTTTTTATTTTAAATTGTAATACATCATTTATTAAAAAAATAACTCGGCAGAAACGTATTTGCGACTCGAAATCAGTTTAATCAGACTGTGCATCGGGGCCCCGGAAACTCCTCATTCCTCGCTTTCGCACACTATGCTTAATTGCGTGTACGTGAGCTCGTTGAGTTTCGCAAGAGCTGAGAAGAACAGGCTGATACTCGCTTTCCTTCTCGCTCTTGCATCGCTGACGTCGTTTACATTTCTCGAAAGCAACCCTGGCATCGCCAACCGTTCGAATCGTCAGTAAACGACAAAAGCCATCGTGACTGACAGACCGTACATTTCTCGAAATCGGACCTGGGCGCTTTTTGAAGATTCATTGACTTTCCATACGAAGCGACCATGCGTTATATACATATACATGTTATACATGCTAGGAACTATAAATTGTATAACTTTCGTTGTATATCTACTTTCTAATAACATGGGAAAATTTTAAAATATAAAAAAATGTAAGAATACTGTAGAATTTTTGCAATGGAGAATTATTGAAAGAAAATGAGGTAATTATTTAGAAAAGGCCGTGTCTCACCGATTTCGATGATTTTTGAATATGTTGTAGAAATCAACATTTTGAGCAACTTTTTCCTAGACATATAACCGCCGCTCGGCCTTAGTTTCCGAGATTTTTCTTCAAAAAGATCGCTACTACTACAATGAATTCTGTCTATATGTATGTACATATCTGTGGCTCTGTATTGCATCAGTCCACGATCGTTGCTTTTTTCTCTTGTTTGTATTAGTCGGCATGACAACCGACGACAAATAATGTATAATGTGTCGAGCTAAATCTAGTTCTGCATTGTTGTCAAAGGTTCGAATATTCTGAAGTATGGAACTCGCCAAATACATTACGCAGGCTATTTAGGTGAATTCTTCTTCCGTCGACAATATCATGCTAATGATCTAATAATTCAATTTGTCGAAATAATGGCTGAAATCTTTCCCACTTCTGATAATATCAATAAAGAAAATTGAAATAGAAAATGAATGCGTGGCCGCCGTTTGGCGGCCGGCTACACAAATCGAGTTTTTAAGCACAGCTGTTATACGCATTCATTGCCGGCCGCCTCGATGTATCTATAGAAACAATAAACAATCGGCGAGTCGTATACATACTGCAGATTTTTTGTCAACAATCGGCGAGTCGTATATATATAACAGGCACGTAAGTGTAGATAGAATTCATTGTAGTAACAGCGATATTTGTGATATTATATGGTACAACTTTGGAACCAAGTAAGGCATTGTGTTGAAATTTGGTTTATATGTATTTATGGACATTGAAGAACACATATTTACAATACAAAATAAAAATTTATTTCTCATAATTTTCTATGGTATGGTAAATTCTGAAACAATTCCCAATATACATAGCAGGTTGATTTATACATGTTTCACAATAAAATGTTGTTTGACGTCTTTCTCCTGGTGTTTTCCTGTCGGAACATATAATGCAGTCCCGGTTTCTTTGGCCTACATTTGGAATATGTAGCTTATTATTCATTCTATTGTCCAACAAAGAACGTTAATTTATTTATAACGAAGATAGCAATAGGAATGGTTCGACTTTGAATGAAGTTTCGATTTTACGTTTATAGTTTTTTACGTTTACGTTTTATGTTCTTTATGTTAAATAATTTTAGTAAACATTAAATAATATAGTTTATATAGTTACGTTTATTGTCCACGTGTTTGAATCCGACCATACGCGTCTGACCATCCTCGACAATCCTTCCACTTCCAACGTAAAAACGGCTGATATATTTCTCATTTTAATAGAATATTTCCCATTTTAATAGGAAAGTACAGGAAAACATGTGTTTCTTAAAAAATTGCGGTGAAATCAGTTCATTCTCCTTAATCACTAATAAACTTTCATGTCCCCTCAGAGGGGACAACCGAGTGCAAAGGGTTAAAATATGTTCATAAAATATTATCGTTTTAAAACGTGTATTTCCGTAAAAACAAATTTTTGTAATTTTTTCTTCATTATGGTATATTGCTTATACATTGT